CACATAGGAAGAATTACGCGAGAAATTAAAAAAACAACATTCAAGTCACGCAAGTTGGGAGGAATAAGTACATTGAGTTACCTACATCGGATACGCAACACGAATTCCATAATCACAGTAGTGAGAATCATTCTATTTGCGAATCGTAATAAGTTACGTCTTCTATGTAGCACTTACGACGTTACAAACATTCGTTCGAATAAATAGTATACTACTTTTAACTCGAAATCGCTTCGCGGAAAAACGTCGTATGTACATAGGTAATTTGCAAAAGGATACTCCGTTTCGTTGCATCGAGGAACCGTGATCTCGTTTGAAAATAGTATACCACTTTTGCTTTGGTTTCCATTCATTTCTAAAACGTCGTATCTTCATATTGATTTGTGTTAATTAATGGTCTTTTTGATTTTGCGACAGTTTTGTATGGTGGAATGCGAATATATCGAAAGCGCCACAGAAAATTGCTTTCCCTTACGAGATGGCAATTTTTATCGTACACAGTTTCCCTTTGAAACTGTGTTGAATGTTGAAATGTTATTTATGCTTTAGAAAGAAAAGAATTACTTAATATGTTTTGCTATTCAAACGTTTAAAATGTTTATATAACTGCCGGTCCCATTTAGCAACCCTGTGGGACTCCGAAAATAATGAAAGGTTACAGTCGATTTTATTGCATAATCATAGACTTCTACAAAGTCTGAAATATTTTTTGAAACTTAAGCTTTTATAAATATTGCAGACCTTATAGAAGTCAACAGTTATGTAACAAAATTTCTGTATGCAGTCTGTTTACAAGTTCTTTATAGGGCACAAGAATAATCACAGAAATGGGGTTCAGATAGGTTTTCTTTTGTCATGAAGTTTAAATCAAGGCTGAAACTTTTATTTTGTTTTGCATCTTAATCTTATTTTGACATTTTTTTTAAAGTACATGAAGCTTTATTTTTTAACTCAATAATTCTTTAGATTACTCAAATGAAATTTAAATTTCAATCTATGCATGTTGTGATGCTACCATACTAATGGCGCTTGCTATGTTGGTTGTGATTAAATAAATAGATAAAAAAATCAACCAAATTCCAAGTTTGGAAGTACCGGAATCATCATCATCAACAGCCTATCTTAGACCACTGCTGGACATAGGCCTCTCCAATTGCATCCAGTTCCTGCCAACCACCTTGCGCAAACGTCACTTCTAAGTAAAAAATGTACCAAGACGTGACGTCATGCGATATTATAAATCAATATATTACTGTAACGTGTTGATATATGTCCAATACTTTCCGATAACCTACCTGATGGATGAAGAATTGAAGACAAAATATAACTAGAAAAAATTCCACGCGGACCAGGCACGGACGGCGTGAGGGCCGCGGTAGCATAATTGGTCAGTGCATTCGCCCGGATTGCGAAGGGTGCGGGTTCGAGTCCCGTCTGCTGCCTGGTCCGCGTGGAATTTTTTCTAGTTATATTTTCTTTAGATTTAAACATCAAGCAGTTACATGCTTTAAAATAATAAAAATTATATCTAACTAACCTATTTCCACCCCCTTTGAATTATAGTTTCCGGCAAAAAGTAGCCTATAACCATCTCCAGATCCTCACCTATGTCTGTGGCAAAGTTCATTATTATCGACTCGGCGATTTAGGTGTATAAGCGTAACAAACTAATAATCTCACTTTTGCATTTATTATTGGCGAGCTCCGTGGCCGACTGGTTTGTGGTACTAGTACGCCGGGTTTCATGGTGTCGCCGACTCGAGAGGTCCCGGGTTCGAATCCCGGTGGGGGCAGGTGTTTGTGTGATGAATACGAGCATTTGTACTCCAGTCATGGATGTTAAATATGCATTTCTATATCAATATATGTATGTACAGTATGTATGTATTCTAACCGCGTTACCTTAGCATCCCATAATACAAGCCTAGTGCTTACTTTGGGGCTAGGCTAATTGGTGTGAATGTTGGAAATATATATTTATTATTTATTTTCTATTAGTCATTAGCATATTGATCGATTGCGTCATCCTAATTGGCAACAAATGTACGATGACACGATGCGTTCTCGTCGTGCGAAGATTGTCAAACATACAGATTTTTTTCAGAAGTGTCATAATTACAGCTCGTAAGCTGAAGCACGAGTACAAGTATATTTACAATGGGTTCAATCGTACGAAAGTTAGTTATTTTACTGTGTTAGTTCAGTTAGTTTGTTGTCCACTGCCGGATTTAGGGGAGGGCAACCGGGGCGAAAGCCCCGGTGCCTCCACAAACGGGGGGCCCCCCACAATAGACTTGGGAAAAAAATCTTTCAAATTCCAACTAGTAAACATCTTTTCCTTTGTTTTTTTTTTGCTCTTTTACCTTTACCTACAGCCTACAGTACTTTGTACATCTAACAAACATGATTATTTGATTATATTAATCTTAAATAACAGAAATCATTGATCTATCTTTGTTCACTCCAATCAGGCAATCAGTGAAATATCAAAATCTCAAATGGTCCTGATAAGCACTTCCAATTCACTACCCATCTTGAGGGAGTACCCCAATAGCTTAATGGCTGAGTGGGGTGGTACTTGCCCGCAGGGCCGAATTTAAGGCAGGGCAGGTGGGGCTGTGGCCCAGGGCCACAACAGCTTAAGAAATAACAACATTTCGATGGGTTAACAAGAATACAAATCCTAAGTGGCCCGGGGCCTCCACAATCCTAAATCCGGCCCTGTTGTTGTCTTCTGTAAGGTGGAGGTTACTTTCCCAAACGGACACTCCAATTTGAGCGGGAATTCCGCTATGCAGGCCCTACCTGCATAGAGGATTTATAGCTCTTAAATGGCGACTTATCGCCTGTTGGGCGACAGCATCGCACGATAGGCCTCATGGATCTATTACGGGCCGTCCTAATTGGAAATGATCGTACGATGACACGATATGACCTCATCGCGCGATGAAAATAATGTATCCGTGCTCGTGCAACCGCATTCGGGCTGTAATAGGACACTTCTGAAGAAATCTTTAAGTTTTTAAACTCATCGTACGACATGATCGCAACGTGTCATGTTATGCCTGCCTTAGGGTTAACCCTGTTCAATAATCATACGATTATTTTCATCGCACGACGTCGACAAGGCGTTGACCTAATTGGCCATGACCGTAAGATGACATGATGCGATCTCGTCGAACGATTGCTCCAACAAATCATTACGATGAAGCCTTCAAATCCCGTGGGTTTGAAGCCTTTAGGCTTCCTCAAAAATGTGTAATTTAGTCAATAAGAGTTCGACAAAAAAGTAACTCTACAGCCGGCTAGGGACATCCATGATGAAGTTTTTACACCAAATCCCGCGACTGGAAGGAAACATACGTCGATGAATGCGGCAGATCAAATTGAAATTTCTCTAACATGCTTGGTAAGCATTATTTTGACACTCGCCTTCGAGAAAAATCGTAATTGCTGTACTGGCCACACACTGGCCGTACATGCGAGCAGCGTCTGGCAAAACTTGTCTGAAAATCCATCACTGTAGTAAACTCATTTAAAAAAAGGAAAGATTTTTTGACTCCGTACCACTGAGCAAGTAATTACTACACGTCTTGGAAAAATGTTAACCAAGGAGGTAAGTCACCTCTTTGGTTTCCATCAGAGGTTTTATTAAATAAAATGATTTAAATTTTAAATCATTCCTCCAGCTTGGAAAACTCAAAAGATAATTATCATCATCCTTTAATGCTGAAGCACAGCCCTTCGCTATGGATGGAATAGGGAGATTGGGTCATGACCCACCACGCGGGCCCAGTGCGGATTGGCGGGTGCTAACGACTGCAGATGCAGCCGGGATCAACGGCTTTACGTGCCTTCCGAAGCACGGAGGAACTCGAGATAGAAGATTTTTGGCCATCCAATGACCGACCATTGCGAAAGTTGCTTAACTTCAACGATCGCAGCCGAACGCGCTAACCACCTGCGCTATCGAGCTCCTCAAAAGATAATGATGAATTCAAAACAAAGTATCGTTTACGTATTTCCCTAGAATTCTCTGGGGACATACGCAGACGATGACATGAACTCCGTCAAATAAAGGAGGGGGCACAGCAGTTATCTTGTGTTTTTGCTCGATTTAGCTGTCCATTGCCATGCTAGACTTGGAGCTTTGGGTGAATGAGAAATGAAAGTCCCCACTTCTGGGGCATTTTCATACAAAAAGCTTTGTTCTGCGGGCTTGGGATAAAGGTCAATCAGTCATTCAAAATATTACCGTAAACCCGGTCTAAAAATATTGCAGTTTTCTTTGTTTACTAAAAGAAGACTTTAAAAAGGAGATTAACTGTTAATCCTAATTTTAGTCCATGTCCTGTGATGTCTTGGAATAAGGCGGCGTAATACTTTGGAGTTGTATCTACTCATAAACTTGATATCAACAATGGAAAGGCAATATCGCATATTATACGCCACTTTGGTCGAAAATTCAGGTACTTTTTTGGCGCTTAAGCCACAAAAATTTTTTGAAGACTTTTATTGTTCACAACGATAAAGCGACATAAATAAAATTAAGAACAGTAACAACTTTGTTTTTTAAGAAAATTACAAAGCAACGAAACGTGATCATAATAGAAACATTTTCATTACTGCTAAATGGAACGTAACGTCATTGTCATCTGTCAAATAAACGTCAGAAGTTCTGTTCCAGTGCATTTGTAAAAAACGCCATATTTACTGGATCGAGCTAAAATTATGATATAAATCCTATTCTTTGTGGTTAAAATAAGCTTAAAAGATAATAATTACTTTTTAAAGGAACAGATCTGGGTGTGTTTACGTTTAAGAAACGCAAGTCAGTATCGCATTTTTCGTCTAAAATTTAACAAAATAATACAAAATTCAGTTGTAAACAAAATGAACCGACTGTGTTCTCCTAATCTCAGTAAATAAGGTGAAGTTTTGCCTCTTGTCATAGTTTTGTTTAGAAATTTCATCAGTGTTGTTAGTTCGGTGGAAAAAAAATGTCTGATATTGAAGTGGAGGTACCTACGACATTTAAAAAACGCAATTTGAAAAACAGAGGAGGTCGCAAACGAAAGGCTTCTAGTTCGTCGGAAGGTAATTTATTAAATACTGAGCTCGCATAGTCATAAAAACAAATTTTGAGGTTAAGTTATGCATTTTTTAATTTTAACCAAATTACGGCTTTCTTTTTCCTATTATCGTTATTTAATAAACATTACGAAGTGATTGTGCATCTACAATATGTTAAGATAGGCTTAACTATACTTCCGAGGCCCAAGAACAAATACCTTACAGTTTTGTTGGTTGTAACTTCACTTTTTTTTGTTAAAAAGTTTTCTGTTAACTGGATACATTATTACACAAAGTGTCCACACTTATGCACTGGTAGTTTTATAGAAGAATATAATAGGTATAACCACATTAACACAATATTGAGAGACAATAAACAGTTAAAAGATTATTGATTGTAGTTAATAAATATTATAATTTAATAAATAAATATTACCAACACTCACACCAATTAGCCTAGCCCCAAAGTAAGCACTGTAAGGCTTGTGTTATGGGATACTAGGGTAACGGATAGAATACATATACTGTACATATATAAGTATATTTATATAGAAATACATATTAAACATCCATGACTGGAGTACAAATGCTCGTATTCATCACACAAATATCTGCCCCCACCGGGATTCGAACCCGGGACCTCTCGAGTCGGCGACACCAAGAAACCCGGCGTACAAACCACTCGGCCACGGAGGTCGTCAAAAATATCATGTATTGTACTTAATATTAAAGGAAATCAAGGAAAATATCCACTTCCTTGTGTGTAGTTATTATAGTTTTCATATTTATTTTGATGACCTCCATGGCTGAGTGGTTTGTATGCCGGGTTTCAAGGTGTCGCCTACTCGAGAGGTCCCAGGTTCGAATCCCGGTGGGGGCAGATGTTTGGGTGATGAATACGAGCATTTGTACTCCAGTATATATGTTTATTATTATGTATTTCTATATAAATATACTTATTTATTTATTCAGTATATGTATTCTATCCATTACCCTAGTATCGCATAACACAAGCCTGCAGTGCTTACTTTGGGGCTAGGCTAATTGGTGTGTGTTGGAAATATTTATTTATTTATTATTTAATATATTCCTCCCTCCAATATAGTTATAAATTCGCTACTTATGCATTTTACTATTGAATCGAAAAGAAATGCAACCAACAACAAATAAATATAAGTGTTTTTATAATGTATCAGTATATTACATACTAGTGGCCCCCCCTCGCTACGCTTCAGTGAAAACTATAGTTTTAGTTCTAATATATAGCCTATTCTTCATGCACTCAAAAATACCTAGGCTTCTATTCTTTAAAAAAATGTTCGAAATTGATTCTATAGATCCAGGGATGAACCTCTACAATGTCACAATTCACAAACAACCCTCTTTATATAAAAGTATTGATAATTATGTAAACATTTTGATTTAGTAAATTAACAATTAACTAATCTTTTGACTAGTAAAGTAGAAATTTGTTACAGAAAAGAAAAGCTCAGATTCTGACGAACCAACAGTAGTGTTGCCAACAAAACGCCCACAGAAAGCCAATCCAAACATCCAGAACACCGGAGGACCGAGAACGAAGAGACCGGAAACCAATACCTACAGTGATAGTAGCGATAATGAAGAAAAGGTGAATAATATAATTTACTTGCCCGTTGAATATTTTGTATTAGTAGCTATTTAATAAATTATCAAAAGCAACCTGCAGTTCAATTCAAGTTAGAACAAACATTCTTTTCACCTCAGAATTTGCAGATGTGATTTGAAATATATTTGAAATTCATGTTCTCAATTTAAATCACACCACAGATTTCGAGAACAAGTGAGTTTGTTTAACAGAATAGCACGACAGTAAATCAACTTTAATTCATATTTTGTCTTTGTGCATATATAACAAATCTGCTTTGTTTTATGTCTTAAATAGGTCTCCCGCCGTAGATTAGCTTCATAGCTTCTAGACACTCATGAGTGCTTGTAACAGCCTAAACTGAATAATTGATTTCATTATTATCCAAAAAGAAGCTCAGTGTGTGCCCCAGCAGCATAAGTCTCTACTTCTGGCCATTATGGGAAACTACTGTAAAAAACAAAATATCACTATGACCAAAATTGCTCACCAAAATGGTGTATTAATACCCCAATCTGGCAACACTGTTGTGACGGAAAAATATAACACTGTCTTTCAACTAGCCTCCCCATCCTATATCCCCCAATAAAATTTATTCAGCACATTATCTATATATATAAAACTCAAAGGTGACTGACTGGCTGACATAGTGATCTATCAACGCTCAGCCCATACCACTGGACGGATCGGGCTGAAATTTGGCATGCAGGTAGATGTTATGACGTAGGCATCCGCTAAGAAAGGATTTTGATCAATTCTACTCAAAAGCTGATAAAATAGGGAATGAAAGTTTTGTATGAAACTTTGTCAATTTTAAACTGATCGGGCTGAGACTTTGCATGCAGGTATAAGAAGAATCATAGATGAATGTCATTGTGTATAATACAAGCCTGAGAACAAAAACTGTACTCTACACTTCAGCTCTACACCGAAGCGAAGCAAGGGCGGGCCCCTAGTTATCAGTATAAAAGTACTATCATTTATCTGGTAGAATACAATATTTATTTATTGCGCTATCGTCTTCTTCTTCTTCTTCTTCTTCTTCTTCTTCTTAACGGTGGGTGTTTTCCGCAACTCGACACCAGGTGCCTATTTTGCGTGAGAGGATGGCCTTAGTCGTGCCATCCCAACTCCCCCAAGAAGCTCAGCAGTCTCTTGGTGTCTCCGCATGCTTCTAGTAGCGTCTGCCGGCTGCCCAGGCGTGTCATCCGGTGTCTGGTCACGCCTCTGCACTGCAGCAGGACGTGAGTACTCGTCTCCTCTTCCTTCATGCAGGCTCTGCACAGAAGACTGTCCGAGACACCTATTTGAAACAGATGTTTATTAAAGTGTCCGTGTCCTGTGAGAATGCTCACTATTTGTTTCAAAGCATGTCTTGGTAGCTTGCAAAACTTACTTGCTAGCCATGGGTCTACCTTAGGTATGGCCTCCCTGGCGTGCCTGCAGTCTGCAAGTCCAGCCCAGTATTCGTTGTGTTGTCGCAGGTACCGTTCCCTAATCCAGCTTCGCAGCAGCAGCAAATACCACAGTGTCCGACCCTCTCCTTGCCAGACAATCTGCTGCATCATTGCCCCTTAACCCACTATGTCCTTTTATCCATTGAAGTATGACCTTGTTTTCTCAGCCTACCTCCATATGTTTGCAGTGGCATTCAAAAACCAAGCCGGACGTCATTATATTGTTGTCTAGCGCCTGGAGTACCGAGGCACTGTCAGAGAGTATCCGGATGTTCTTACCCCTGATTGCACGTCGTGTGATGGCCTCCGCTGCTCTGACAATGCCTATACACTCCGCCTGAAAGACCGTATTGAGGATACCCAGGCTATCTGATATATGAATATTGATATCCTCTGAGAACACACCTGCACCAGCGCTATCGTTCACAAACATGACAATTTGTATTACATTAAAAAGTTCTCAGAATTTCTCATTTAGGCGCACCTAGCGACATCTATTGTAAAAAAATGCATTTTCTTCGCAATAAAGCTGCCACCTGGACGTCCTAATTAGAGATTTATTATTATAATAGTCTACACTTCAGCTCTTCACATAATACAGTTACAAATATCGGTATATACACACTTGTGTGTGAGTTAAAAACGGACACAAACTGGTGGTTGTGTTAAAAAGAGGACTTATACTAATACAATTTCTATTGACATTGTTGCAGAAGAAAACAGATCGCACCACACTCTCAGTACAGCAGCAGCGTGAGAATGCAACAGCCACATACGAACTGGACACAGAAAGGGACAGAGACGCTCAAGCTATATTCGAGAAAGCACAAAAGATCAATGAGGAACTGCAAGGGCAAGCTGATGATAAGGTAAGGAGTTCCATCATCATCGTCATCAGCCTATTAATGGCCCCACTGCTGGGGCACAGGCCTTCCCTATGGATGGAATAAGGAGATTGGGACATGACCCACCACGCGGGCTCAGTGGATTGGCGGGTGCTAACGACTGCAGATGCAGCCGGGATCAACGGCTTAACGTGCCTTCCGAAGCACGGAGGAGATCGAGATAGTAAAATTTTTTTTTGGTCACCCATCCAATGAACGACCACTGCGAAAGTTGCTTAACTTCAACGATGGCAGCCGAACGTCGTCATCGAGCTCCTCAAGGTAAGGTTTATCACACTAATATTATAAAGAAGCAAGTTTGTGAGTGTGTATGTTTGTTACTTCTTCACGTCTAAACGGCTGGAGCGATTTTAATAAAATTTGGTATGGAGTTAGTTGACACCCTGTATTAACACATAGGCTACGTTTTACTGCGGGAAAATCCCTCATAAACCGCGGGTAACACCGCGAGGCACAGCTAGTTTTATTATTTAAACAAACATACTCAACAGGCATTGTCCTGTTTGATAAAAATATTTAAAAAATTAAATAATTTATATTTAATTAATTATTTAAAGTTATAACCACAAGACCCAAATAAGCTTTTTGTTATTATTTATTTTATTGTTATTAATTCATACAATTTATTTGAATTTTTATTTTTATTTATAATTATCAATTCGTACTTTCAATAATATCAAAAATGACTGCACTGATGCATTTCCAATTACGATCTAAATTATTTTCCTTGACATTTATTTCAATTTTATTTATTTATGTGATTTTATTCTCAGCGCCATGTAAGCCTACAATTACAAGCACTCACACTAAATAAAAAAAAAATTACAAGTGGCCAGTGTCTTATACATAAAAACTTAATTTGGCAAAACTTTCTGAGTGACCTGGCATATAAACACAAATAATAAAAACAAATAATTGCTCTGTTTTCAAGGTGTACCGCGGTATAAATAATTATGCCCAATATTATAAAAAACGGGACACAGCAGCGGGCAACGCCAGCTCGGGATTGGTTAGGAAAGGACCAATCAGGGCGCCGGCCAATCTTAGAGCTACAGTCAGGTAATGTAAATGAAGGTGCATTCACACCACGCTATAAAACTATGTATAATATAATGAAACTCATTATGCTATGAAACTTAGGGTGTATTCCGAAATATACATCAGTATACTGGCCAGTGGTTATGACATCACGAATCCGACGCCATATTGTACTGGTATGCTACCATATTTTTACCGGGAAAACGAATATGAATGACCGAGCCTGCGTGAGATGCATTCAAATTTAATTTCTTTTTTATTTAAAGAACAATAATGGCATACGTACATAAAGAATTCCTTTTAATTCATGAGGTGATAAAAAATCTTTTTTAATATTTCGTCGATTTATGACGTTATTGCACTGGCCAGTATATTTCGGAACAATTCACCAGTATAGCGTCGATGCATGACGTCATTAGCACTGGCCAGTGTACTGGTATATATTACGGAATACACCCTAACAATATCGCTATTATAGACACAAATTAAGTCTCCAATCTAAATCGATATTTTTTTATTTTATTCACAGATGGGATTACCAGCCTGACATTTGTAAGGATTATAAAGAGACAGGATTCTGCGGTTTTGGAGGTAAGTGGAAGAGAAGAATATTAAACAAAATTTAACTAGAAATACTCCTCTTCTTGTAGGCATCTGTTTACCCACAGTAAAAAAATGGTTGCCTGTAAAGTCGGTTTTACGGGCGAAGATTTTACGTGACAACGTCTTTTTCTCGGTAGATTATTTATTGATATGAATATAATTAAATTGCACAATAGGAACAAGGAATTGAATGAAAATAAGAATTGCACAAATTTTAACTATAGAAATATATTTTGTTTACTAAAACATTGTACATGTAAACTTAAACTTAACACGAGAGACTCATCGTAACGTTACCGAGCGTTACACTTTTTCATAAGTGACTCCCAGCCGCAACCTAATTTAAGACGTTGTCACGTCAAAACTACAATAGAATTCTATTAATAATAAACAAAGGTACTTTGCTAGTCGGGACCTATTGTTGGGAAAATGTCATCCATTCTAGAATATGTAATGGGTCCCGACTGTTAAAGTACTAAAATAGCCTTGTTACTTACTTAACAGAATTCTAGACTACTGTACCCCTAGCACGAACCAATATCGAATTCGTATCGTTTGTGAGTCCGAAATATCATTGTCAAATTTGTACTGATTTTTAGTTCTCGTTACGTACTTTGTGCCGCTGCTGTTCAAGTTTTCATACAAAATTTGACACTGACATTTCGGTTTGCAAACTATTCGAATTCGATAATGGTTCGTGCTAGGGGTACAGTTGCTCACCTATTTGACAGTGCGAATAATATAATCTCGTCTGGGCTTAGATTAAAACAAAAATGGAAGATACGGTACGCTCATACTAGCATTAAATAAAATATGATCCGACTCAACTACATAAGCAACTCTCACACACGCACACGTCTGTATATAAACATTTAATCGAGCGAGCGAGACAGAACTGTACGCTTCAACGCAGCGCGAGCGAAACTGCGAGTCCGCTTCCGAGTCCGTACGGCTGAGCTGTATTGATGTCCTTTTCTTGATAACAAAATGGCGATTACGTAAATAATATTCACGGCAAACCGTGATTATTGAGAAAAAAAATGTTTTTACGCTTTTACGAATGAAAAGTGTTACCGAGGCATTTGTTATTTGATTTTGAACTATTTGTGTACCTTATAAAAGCATCGAAGGCATTGTTTTATAAACATAACACAGAATATACCCAATATTGTTATATTGAGTGCACATGCAGTGTGTTTGAATGTCCAATAGGGTATTTGACAAGTTTTAGGAAACGATCTCACGTAATTGACTAATGTTTATAGAGTCCATAAAAAGTGGAAATTCATCATTATGTTGTGTATTTCGGTAAAAAAACTAAATCAAGAACTCTATTTTCAAGTTGCCACGAAAAACGTATCTCAGGACAATATGGCGTCTCACTGGTGTGTGACGTCACACGAGTGTCATTAAAACGTCAAACCATACAATCTAATGACACTTTAACCGGAAGTTTACTTGCGTGTGACGTCATTTTAGGCTCCACCAATCCCAGGCGGTTTGGGTCACGTGACAAAAGACAAAAAAACTATTATCTTTATCGTGGGTTTTTAGTAAAATTATGAATATTTTTTCTGTAAAAATAGTAAAAACTCCTGCCAATATTAATTCTTAATACAGATGCTAACAATTGGCACTTTATTTTTAATACTGTCAAATACCCTATTGTGACTAAAGCGAATTGTGGTCATGCACCACAATTTAAGCGGATCACTTTGAGCCGCGAGTGCCGTATCTTCCCTTTTTGTTTTAATCTAAGCGTCTGGGCTACATTTTACATGAAAATGTTTTTTGTGTGATGACAATATATTTAATTCACCATTCATAGATTCGTGTAAGTTCCTCCACGACCGTTCCGACTACAAGCACGGCTGGCAATTGGAACGTGAAGAGAACACAGCGCCATCTGGCGGCGGCGACGGCGACTCCGATTACGAAGTCCATTCAGATGACGAGTTGCCCTTCAGATGTTTTATATGCCGAAGCAGTTTCACAGACCCTGTAGTCACTAAGTAAGTATTGTTACGTGTCGGGATGGGTTTCGAAATTATATGCTAGTTTACGCTGGACAGATCTTTATTTCAACACACAGTTCGCACAGTTCTTTCTTAAACAAACAATACTGCACTCACTGTACACTTATAGAAGTCTTTAAATAATATTCGTTCCAGCCGCTCCTAGCATGAGCACTACAATTGTAGTGTTTGTTTTTGAACGGAGCGTGACACTGACACTCATATTACTGACACACGTAGGACAGCTGTTTTGTCTATAATAGCGAACCGCTTATGTCAACGTAGCTGTCAAACTTCATTGATTGGGTTGGTAACATTGAAGGAATAGTTGCTTTTATACATTCGACTCAGGAATCGACTTGAGACATATATAAAAAAAAAGTGGATCTCTGTTGTTGTGTGTTGATGGGTGGAGTGAGTTTGCCAATTGTTAAATTTTGAATTATTTTTTTCCATATCGATTTGAATTCTCAATCGGGCGCTTTTCCCAGGTAATATAAAAAAAACTGCATTTTACTCGAAATTGAATTTCCTCGCTGATTTAGGTAGGTATTCTCTCTTCCTTCGCTTAGGGAGAGCATAGTTATATGGGTTTGGGTTGATACGTCATCTCGTTTCGGATGCAGCGGCAGTCTGTTTGACTGTGGTCTTTGCCTTCGGTTGGTGAGAGAAAAAATCATAGACACATATTTGGTAGTTGATGATCTTTCTCTTTGCTCAGTTTTCAAAACAACATTTATATATGTCTCAAGTCGATTCCTGAGTCGAACGAATAAAAGCAACTATTCCTTCAATGTTACCAACCCAATCAATGAAGTTTGACAGCTACGTTGACATAAGCGGTTCGCTATTATAGACAAAACAGCTGTCCTACGTGTGTCAGTAATATGAGTGTCAGTGTCACGCCCCGTTCAAAAACAAACACTACACAATTTACAATTTATCGCGTTTTTTATCGCGTCTAACTGTCAAACTCCAGTAATTTGACAATTGAGCGCGATGAAAACGCGTTATGTATCACATCGTGGTGCTCATACTACGCTTAGTTTAATACTTGTAAAGGTATTCATTTGACATTGTGGGTTATCTACAATGCGAAGAGATCTCGCTGCCTTGCAGCCTAAGGCTAGAGAAAATTCGACACGGCCGTCAGGTCCCGTCTGCTGCCTGGTCCGCGTTGAAGTTTTTCTAGTAAAGTGTACTTTATTTTTAGATAATCTGTCGCGCAGAATTACGTTTACTCAACCTTATTTCCCTTAATCCCTCAACCTTATTTTCCTTAATAAAATGAAAATGGCAATGTTTTTATTAATTTATTTCTTGCAGATGCAAACACTACTTTTGCGAGAAATGCGCATTAGAAAACTACAAGAAGTCAACGCGTTGTTTCATCTGTAACAGTCAAACCAGTGGTGTGTTTAACCCTGCCAAAGAACTAGAGGCAAAGCTGAAGAGACAAGAAAACGATAGCGATAATGAAAGCGAAGATGATAATGATTGATGTAAATTAAATTATTTTAAGTTACAAAACCATCTTTTGTTTTATTAACTTAAAGCAAATTTAAATCTAAAGAAAAGTTTTACTAGAAAAAAAAAACAATTACTTTCAGACAACCAATATTATATATTTGCCTATAGAATCTATCTAAATATAAAGGCGACGCTTGCGTTACCAAAAAAATCACCAATCCACCAAATCCCCTACCCCGTGGAGCGTCACCGCCAAAAGGTAGTGTGTAAAATATTACTGCGGTATTTTGTAAAGCGGAGGTTACTTCCCTAAATAGTAAAGTAAGTAAAAAGTATTTTTATTAACATAAATGCATATAATTAAAAAACGATGAAACGGTCCCAGTAAGTATTTGTAAAATTCTTGTGTTTGGCCTGTTTCGCTCCAAAACCTTTGTAGCCAGTTAACAAAAATATTTATAAGAAGAAGAAAATAAAAATATATATATTAATTGCACAATTTAAAACAAGACAATCATCTTTATGTGAGTAGGTAGTCCCCACATTTAGTGCATGAGAAATAGGCGCTTCAAATCGAGCAGAAATTCCGTTATGCCTTACCTCTCTTACTAAGTCTATTCATTTCTATTGAACTATCAATGGCATAACGGAACTTTTCTTCCATTTATCCACATTCAATGCTAATAAAATCGTGTGGCACTCGGGGACTGCAGCGGTAAAGCTATTTGAATAGCATTATTTATCAACTTATGCAATTATAATTATTTATTTATTTTATTTATGCAGTATTTTTTTTCTTTGATATTAACAGATGGCGAGGCAGGCCTTATGATATTTTATTGGGTAAGCACAGCAAACAACAGCATTGCTCGGCACCAATAAACTTCCACAAGCTCCACAGTCTACCATCTTTAGTCCAATAATTTAAATTATAATTATAAAGTCTAAATAAAAGGGAGACAAATAAAAAAAGAACAGGTGCTGGGGTCTAAAACAAATATATAAAAAAAGGAAAAAAAATATAATAAAAATACGAGTGCGGGATTTGAACCGACGACCGCGGTGATGCGTCGAACGTTGGTCCCGTGGCAAAAACTTATACACTGCACCATTTCGATCGATACTGGTAAGGCGAAAATTGTGTTCATATGCACTGTTGTCGGGCCATTTTCGTTACGGAATTTCTGAATTCGGTCGCCGCGCTCAAAGCCCGCGATAAAATCTATGCAATAGCTTAAGAAGATTATTTTTTTATTTTTAATACCCATGACCGTCTGCCTCAAAAGAGTGTTGCAATACTTTGGCCATATGGCCCGAAAACCCTCTGATAACCTGGAGAAACTGATTGTTACGGGGAAGCTCGAGGGCAAAAGAGCAAGAGGTCGCAGCCCTACTAGATGGACCGACCAGGTATCAAAGTGTCTCAGCACCACCATCACTGACAGTCTTGACATCCGGTGACATCGGTTCCCGTAAAAACGGTTTATAACCTTACCTCTTTCTGTGTTCTTTGGTGCCAACGACTGCAAAATGATGCAGCCTTGACCAACGGCTTAACGTGCCTTCCTAAGCCTGAGGTCGAGGATTATAAATGCAAATTTTGATGTATTTCAATGCGTTACCCTAAAACAGCTCAATCAATTTATATTACCTTCTCTGAAGCTAAACTAATTGGTGTAATTAATAGAAATTTTTATCATTGATATCGCTGCGCAGAAACCACAAAAAAAACAGTTCAATAAATTTCTACAGTACCTTAGTATTTCACGATACAATATGTATATACCTATGTGTATCGAATCATAAATATAATCGATTAGTTCACCGAATTAATAATTATAACGTTAATTATAAGTTAGAAATATTTGCTCTGTCGCACGAGGCGGGTCGTTGTACAATATCTTATAACTCGGTTAATTACAATGGGAGAAAAATGTAAAAATAAATTGGGTAAGTACTTAATTATGTATAACTTAAACATATTAATTATTAGGATAGATGGCACGTTAGATTTTGTATTTACACTCATGTCGAAATATTCGAATTACGAATCTAAAGACCTTTTTATCCGTGCGGTGACGGAGAAAGAATACTACTCACCGCCCTTTCTCTTCCCGTGGGTGTCGTTAAAAGCACTGGCCAGGGAGACCCGTAGAAACGGCTGTCCCGCTGGCCGCCCGTGGCACAGTACAGGGGCCCGAACGTTCTCAACCAATTAGAGGCTGCCCCATGGAAGTATCTCTGAAGTCATTTTTCAATTTGACGGCTCTGTATATAACAATACAGGGAGAAAAAAACAGCCGTTGCTGAGTTTCTTGACGGTTCTTCCCAGCACAAGGTCTCCCGCCATAGTTTTGCGTACCGAAGTAAAACAGGGTGTCTTTCCTGACAATTAATAAAATCACAAACATTAAGCCTATACACAAAAAAAGAAGTTAAGGATAATCCAGCGAATTATCGGCCCATAGCCTTAATATCTGTCCTGTCAAAAGTTTTTGAAAATGCATGCATACAAGAATAATGAAATTTAAAGGAAAATTTTATTTAATTGACGCCTATCAATACGGCTTCCAAAAAGGAAAATCTACTACTTTAGCAACGTACAAGCTGTTAAATGAAGTTGTGAAGAATGTCGATAAGAAGCTTCAGACAGTTGCTATCCTTTTCGACTTAAAGAGGGCATTTGATTATGTTTCGTACGAAATACTATTAAGGAAATGTGAAGCATATGGTATACGTGGTGTTTGCCTTGATTGGATCAGAAGTTATTTTCAAAATAGAGCACAATATGTCACATCTCTTTATATAAATTCTGATTCATTCATAGAAACAGCTTGTTCTAATTTAACATATAATAACACAGGCGTCCCACAGGGGAGTATCTTGGGACCTCTTTTCTATTTACTCTTTTCGAATGATCTTACAAAATTTATTGATTTCCCATGTATGCATAATATATGCAGATGACATAATATGTGGCTGTTAACAGTGCCAGCGAGAACGTGCTTCGATAAAACTACCGGAACTACTCACTTGCTTCTCGTCAACTCGTTTCTAGTTTTTAGCTCTCATCGCTTTTCCTTCATGTCGACAAGACAAGACAAGACAAGACCGCTTCCTGACTATTCGCAAAAAAACTGAGAAATAGTTTTAGTATAATTTATCTAACTCTAATTCTTAATATTCCTTATACAATCTAGACACTTAATTATTATTTGTATTGATTTAATATGTAATATGTTATGATTTATATAATGAATACATAAATGATTGGTCGCGCTTCGAAGCGAGGCTAATCATTTATCTATGAATGAATATAAATAACACTTTAATTTTAGTCACCTTTTTAATTGAACCAGACTCTCATTAATATTTGTTGCCTGGTAGGTTTATGCATACTATATACATAGATATACAGCATGCTTAGGATAGAAGTCTCGATTTCAATGTCTTTAGAGCAAAATGTTGATTACATATGATTTATATCCATTTTGTGTTCTTAAAAATAAATAAAAGTGCCTATAGAACGAATTTAGTTTAAAGTTACGTGTCAAAATTTCACAGGATCGTCGTACACATACTGGCTGTACACACTATTACTTGCGAATCAAATCCTACATATTACTGGAACAGTGAGAGCTAACCTTCCAAAGCGTGAAGCCCGGCCTGTACTCAATCACCGCGTGTTACATTGCCGTGAAGGCCAATCTTACCCAGACAGTGAGAATTGTAGACAGTATTACGAATGCAGGCAATGGTCGCTGATACATAGAAAGTGCCCTGGCACTGATGAGTTCGATCCTGTATACCATGTGAGTATGATTCTGTTCATTGTAGTTTATATTATTTTTAATTTTTTAGGAGCTCGATGGCGCCAGTGGTTAGCGCGTTAGGACTGCGGTCGTTGAAGTTGAGCAACTTTCGCAGTGGTCGATCATTGGATGGGTGACCAAAGATTTATCACTCGAGCTCCTCCGTGCTTCGGAAGGCACGTAAAGCCGTTGGTCCCAGCTGCATCTGCAGTCGTTAGCACCCACCAACCCGCGTGGTGAGTCATGGCCCAATCTCTCTAATCCATCCATAGGGAAGGCCTGTGACCCAGCGGTGGGGACATTAATAGGCTGATGATGATGATTATTTTTTTAAGCATTTATCAGCTGGGTGTTTGAATCTAAAGAAATCGAAGGGTCGATGCAACCCCTCGACCTCACTTCACACGATAGAACACAGAAAGAGGTTAAGACGCAGACGACGGAGCGGGGCGGGCTTTTTGTCCGCGAAGCAATAAAAACCGCGTCTGCCCGTCGATGTCTGCGGTTGCCCTCACCGCGTACACAAAGCACACGACGGGCAGAGGCAGTCACTTCAAGACGTTCGTTCTAGTGAATAGTCCATCACTAAAAAGCGCGTGGCGCGGACTGAGCTAGCCGCCCCGCGCCGCCGTCTGCGTTACTGCATATAAATTGGTTTGTATGATCCACGGCGGGCAGCCGCGGATATGCGGTCTTTTTGCATTCTGTGTGCATTTGTAGTATAGGATTCACTTTGTGCTATCGTTCGCGGCGAAATTGACCGGCCCGCTCCTCCCCGCCGTCTGCAAAGCGCCTAAAAGGCCCTTGTGCGCGGGGCAGGCGCGCCACAGTTATGTGTGAGCCATAATTTGACCAAAACTTTGTTCTGATTGCGTCGTTGCTCTCGTGTGTGAGCGCGGATTGGTCCGATTGTTTGATGTCGCGTCCTTTGATTGGCTATTATCTATTAGGTGGAAATGTAGTGGTGTAATGTTGTTCTTCTTCTGTCTTTGCATACTGCCTCATGTTATTTGTCCTTTCTTGCTGTCAATGTCATAGTTGCGCACAGGCATGGATCGGCAGTAGAATTACTATTAAGTTTGCAATTCATTTAATTATTTCTTTGTTTTCTTCTTTTGTTTTTTAGGTTCCAGTCTGTAGTCTGTCCTCCCACAGATAAATCATTTTTTTCTTGTACTTTTTTTTGTAAGGCTAAGGCTGGTGAAAAACATTCAGCCTACGTTGTTATTATCTTTTTTTTTATGTGTGTGGTTGTTTATTTTACTATTGTTTAATAATAATCTGTGTCGTCAACCTTAGGCCTTGCCAGAATCATCAGCGCTGCAGCAGCCCTGGTGTTGCTGTAGTATCAAGCTGAGGCAGGGACCTAGTTGGCCAAAAAAATTTTTTTTTTATTTATGTTTAACAATACTTTATGGTCAATAAAATTTATTTCTTTCTTCTTCTTTCTTAGTGGGGGTGAGCCGGCGTCAGCGGTTCTCGTACACACGTTCTATAAACACTTTTCTTACCTCTTTCTGTGGTCTGCATCATCCCCTCTCAGGGGATGATCGCTTCAGATGAAGCTTGTAATTCCCTTCCGGCCATAAGCATGAACTACGGGTGTGTTTTAGCCAGTAGGAGTCTGACATAACTTTGCAGCCGGCTGTAGGGTATCCATAAGGATTTCACATACGCTCCCCCGCCTGGGTGGAAACACTTTTTCTGTGTTCTGTGCTTCACACTCACCACGGAAAGTTGAACTAATTCGTTTTTAGTGCATGCAGCCGGTGTTCATCGATTTATAAGACATAATCATGTCAAAAGGCAAATATCTTTTACTGTCACGTATTCTTATCCCACACTAACGTGACGATGCTACTTGGGTGGCTTTGTTACTGCATAGCGCTAGAATTAGCCTTCTAACTTCCTTCAGCTGTACATACAAATTTATCGTTTTCCACAAACTCTTTTAGCGTGTTAAAATATCGCCAGTCAAGCTATTGTATATCTTCTGTAGACACGCAGCCTCCTAATTCATTACGCTATGACAGAACTAATTCAAATATCGAATATTATTTTTATCGCATTAAGTACCAAAGCCGAGTGTGGGTGAGGCAATTTTCGTTCTCACAAAGATGTCCTTTGTGAGAACGAAAATTGCCAATTGAAATATTTAAGAATTTTTATACAATGTCTTCATTTTTTGTTCACACTTATACACAGTCAGGCCATTGTCACACAGTAAAAACTTTTCTTTTAGAATGCTGGCCACAAAAAAGTTTATTGAATTCGAATTTCGAATTGTTCATGAAAATAAAAATGTATACTTTTTAGAATTTTATTCATTTTTAAATATGGAGTGGACGCTTAAAGGAGACTGTATTGCAGTTATTGCGTTGCATCGTTACGGTTACGCGCCAATTCAAATTTTTGATATACTAAGATTCGTTTATCGTACCATCATACGATACAATGAAGACTCTAGTGTAGATGACAGGTCAAGAAGTGGTCGCCCTCGGTCTGTTAGGACTCCAGCAGTGATAAAAGCTGTGAAGGCGCGAATTCAAAGAAATCCCAAACGTAAGCAGAAACTGTTTTCACTTCAGATGGGGTTAAGCAGAACCACGATAAAAAGGGTATTAAATGAAGACTTAGGGCTTCGGGCATATCGAAGAAAAACAGGACATCGTTTGAATGCTCGTCTAATGGACCTGAGACTGAAGAGATGCCGCGCTTTGTTGAGGCGGTACGCGGGAAAAACTAAGTAGAAAAAATATCGGGACATTCTTTTTTCGGATGAAATTTTTTTTTACCGTAGCAAAGAGCTACAACAAACAAAATGATAAGGTGTACGCACACAGTAGTGAAGAAGCGAGCAACAGTATTCCGCGTGTCCAACGAGGTCATTTTCCATCCTCGCTCATGGTATGGTTGGGAGTTTCTTATTGGGGCTTAACAGAGGTACATTTTTGTGAGAAAGGTGTAAAAACGAATGCAGTTGTGTATCAAAATACAGTCCTGACGAACCTTGTGGAACCTGTTTCTCATAACATGTTCAATAACAGGCACTGGGTATTCCAATAAGATTCGGCGCCAGCTCATAGAAAGAAGAGAGAACACAAGATTGGCTCGAAGAGAACACAAGATTGGCTGGCGGCGCGTGAAATCGACTTCGTCCGGCACGAAGACTGGCCCTCCTCCAGTCCAGATTTGAGTCCGTTAGATTACAAGATATGGCAACACTTGGAGGAAAAGGCGTGCTCAAAGTCTCATCCCTATTTGGAGTCACTCAAGACATCCTTGATTAAGGCAGCCGCCGATATTGACATGGACCTCGTTCGTGCTGCGATGGACGACTGGCCGCGCAGATTGAAGGCCTGTATTCAAAATCACGGAGGTCATATTGAATAAACTTTATTGTCATAAGAATCTATTTTTTGTTAAGTTCATTTTGGTATATAAATGGTTACATAATGAATAAACTTGTTTCAATTATTTTATATTAAACATGTGACAGAATTTATGACCTGACTAGGTATATCTACACGTTTAAAACATGTTGTGTATACAATACGTGCATCGAACTTGTTGGATAAACAAAATATGTGGAGTAAATTCTTCTTCTTCTTCTTTTTCTTTTTTTATGGCATGCACGTGGAGTAAATTAGTAATTATACTTGTAAGATTCTAATTGTTGTGTAAACGAAATAATGTTTTAAACAGCCACAACAAGTATGCTAAAAGTTTTGTTTAAAACTAGTGCATGAATTGTTTCTTGGTAGAAACGAAAGGTTAGTAAGTAAATTACATACCGAGTAAACTAATTAAAAACGGCAGCACTTTAATTGTTATAATATATAAAATATAACTTATTGAGTGTCACATGCGTGAAATACTTGCATTTCACGCATCTGACACTTGATAAGTTATATTTTGCTAACATAATGAATATTGCAATTAAGCAGTGCGTCTGAAAAAATGGCTATTTAAATGAGTGATGTGCGCGAAAGCTTTTGAAACAAATTTGACTGTTTTGATCGTGAGAAAATTTTACTAGAACAATTCCACGCGACCAGGCAGCGGACGAAATTATTTCTAGTAAAATTTTCTTTAGCTATCAACATGTAGCAGTTACATGCTTTAATAATTAAGAATTTAACTAATGTTAGTATCGATGAAAACTAACTTTAGCTAACTTCTTCTCCGTCTGTTACACATATTAAGCTAAGCATTTATTAATGACACAAATATTAAGCTTTATAGTTTTTTAGTTTGTGTTCTGCAATAATTAGATATTTGAAGTGCGAATAATAAAATCTTAAAAGAATTAAAATTGGACACATATTTTTTTCTTTATTCACATTATCAAAACATCACAATTATATTAGTTATTGATTACAAAAGTCGCCTGACATCACGTCATGGTAAAATTTTTACTTAGAAATGACGACACGACCCCCAATCTTTGTCACGATTTATCTTTATAATTTTTTGGTTGGTTGACCAATGTCCAAATACGTGTCCATTATATTTTATAATATCACTGATGCACTAAATAGAATTTCGTTTAACTTACCCCGTTCTGGTACAAGACAATCCAGTGTTAGCCTCATCTAATTCCTTTGTTTTTCAATTTGAATTGCAGCAGAAGGTTCATTGTAACAGCTTTAAGATTTCGAAGTGGACATTATCCATCCTGGAAATATGGTTATCCTTATGAAAAAAATAGATTCACCTAATTGTGAAATTTGTTGAACAGTCGATGACGTTCAGCGCATGCTTGTAGAGTGTATCTAAGTATAAAAAGAAGACGATGTCATTATTGCAAAAAAATAATATAAACGTGTTCGGCGTAGTAGATATTCGCAACTATATTGGCAGATCCACAATTGGAAGTATTCAAAAGCGTTTTATTTTATTTTTTGCAATAATGAATCTTCGTAGTGTTAAAAATGTTAATCATGTAATTTATAAAGTTAGGATAAAATGGGGCTAGAATATCCATTATATTATGGGGTAAAAGCCTCTATTTAAATAAGATTGACAAAAAGAAACCCCTATAAGTTAAAGCAATTGAAATGGAAAAATTCTATTTAATTATCAATATTTTACGGTAATTGGTTTCAGTTGTGTCTACCGCCGAAACTAGTAAAATGCAAATTCAAGAAACCTTACGTTGTAACGACTACGCTGAGAAATTGCGACGAAACAAATAATGTAGGCGTTGTAGTTCCTGAACTACCCGAGGTTAAGGCAAATGCAAAAAATCAAACTTCTGATTTGGAGCCTGCAGTGGAACCAATACCTAATATAGAACTTTCATCAACAACTACAGAAGCGACAAGTTTCACGCCAACTAAAATTATAAAACCAGGAATATTTACAGTTACGGATAAAGCAACAACAAACGCGGAAGATGCTACACCTTCAACAACAAAAACAAGTGAACCAGCAACGATGACGTCAGTAACCTTAAGTAGTGCTTCCTCTATAATATCAGGTGAACCAAAATCAACTACGGTACCAAATAAACCAATCACAATAACCACTGAAGCCACTAGCTCTTCACAAATACTTCCAAGTGAGTATACTGAAACAAATGAGTTCCCTACAGCAGTGCCAGTTACTGCTTCAGTGAAGGTACCAAGTATACCAATTAATCCGTCATCAATAACAACAACTGTAACAAACAGGTTCACGGCTGCAATTTCAACAGAGTCAGTGAGTTATTTACATGAACAGATTTCATCATCAACAAACCAACCACCAACATTTAAGATGTCTAGTGCAACAACTAGTTATACTCCAACAAAAGAAACTGAATCAAACACTATAACAGCGTCACTAACGCAAAGTGAACCATCAACGCCAACAACGATAAAGGAAGAAGTAATTACTTCTTCAACTAAAGCAAAGGAAAATGTTTCCTCAATACCATCATATCGACCAACAGAATTTACAACGCCTAGTGAGTCAACAACAAAGACGTCTACATCAATATCTATGACTCCTACTAATTCGACAATAGAAACGCCTATAAAAACAACTATTTCCACATCTCTACCAAGTGAATTAACCACTCCTCCATTTATACCAAGTGAACAAGCGACGAAGAAAGGCCCTCCTTCTTCATCAACAACATCGAATTCAGAATCAATATCAACATATGAAACAACAAGTTCAACATCAACAATTTCAAGTGAATCTACCACCATATCATCGATGTCATCAACTGAACTAGCAAATGAAACAAAACCAAGTAAACCAACATCTTTACCTAATACACCTAGTAGATATACAATAACATCATCCACATTACCAATTCAATCGACCACAATATTGCCGCCACACGAGACTAAAGAATGTGAATCAGAACAGTTATATGCCGATCCCACAGACTGTCGCCGGTTTTATTTCTGCAGCAATGGCGAAATGTATGAACAAGCATGTCAATCCTATTTCTTATTTCATCCACAGAGACTGGTATGTTTTATTTGCAAAATTTCATTTATGTTTCTAATTATGACATAATTTTAATTCTTGTGTTAAAAATGTAGTTTATACATCATGTTCAAATTTTTTTATAATTTCATATTTACAGCTTCGCTGTGAATTTATCTATCAATGTTTTTCTTACAGGTCTGTCTACCTAAGTACCTTGTGAATTGCTTATCAAATCAAGTTACGAATGAATTAACGAATGATAAAAAAAATACAATTTTGTCTTCAACGTTACCAAGTTTTGTAGAACCCGTTACAGCTTCTCTGAAGCCTATATCAACTCCATCAATACTGTCAAGTGAAACAACAACACCGTCCTCATCCATTTCACCAAAAAAATCTCTATCTTCAGTGACTCCAACTGAATCAGTTACTTTGTCTTCAACATTACCAAGTAAAGATATTAAAACCACTGCGATTGAAACCGTTGCAACTTCTTTGAAGCCTATATCAATTCCATCAATATTGTCAAGTAAAACAACAGTACCATCACCGACAAAATCAGAAAGTTCTCCCTCTTCAGTAACTCCAACTGAATCAGTTACTTTGTCTTCAACATTAACCAGTAAAGATATTAAAAGTACTGCAATTGATACTGTTGCAACTCCTTTAAAACCTCTGTCAACTCCATCAATATTATCAAGTGAAACAACAACACAGTCATCGACCAAATCAGAAAGTTCTTTAATTTCAGCAACTCCAACTGAAAAAATAACTTTGTCACCAAATGAAAATATCCCAACAACGATAGTGGAGACTCAACCAAGTAATTCTTTACCAACAGCTCTTACAACACCAGAAGATATTACTACTTTATCGACATTAACAAATAAATCAATAACATTGTTGCCACATACAATAAGCGATGAACAAGGTTCATCATCATTTACGATAAACTTTAGAAATGAAACAGCTACAACTATTGAGTTAACTACGTCACCGTGGAGAATGGATATAACTACTGAATCTTTCTCTACTAGTCCAGATGAACTGACCTCGCTATTACCACCAAAGTCAAATGAACCATGCGATTCTGGTGCCTTGTATCCCGACCCTTATGATTGTCATAAGTTTTACGTTTGCGTGAGGGGTGAATTATATCACAATAACTGCCAAGATACATTCGTCTTTCATCCAACAAAACTCGTAAGTATTTTCCTTTGTGTCATGATATCATTTAAGCGTAACTTAAGAACTTGTTATTTGTATTTACGAGATTCTTTTCTTAATTTTTTAAATTTTTATCTTAATATACCTATACCTTCTCTGTTTTCAGGGTTGTCTGCCACCAACCATAGCAGAATGTATATCGATTTCAAAAACAACTGCCGCAGTGCCTGTCGATTTTACTACAATTTCCAGAATATCAACACAGAATACACAAACGACATCGGTGCCATATGAACCTACCACAAAACCGATGCCTTCAAAGCCAATTGAATTCTGCGAATCAGGGCAATTATATGCCGATCCCACGGACTGCCATGCGTTTTACTTTTGCGTCAATGGTAAACTATATCAGGAGAAATGTCAGAATCGTTATCTATTTCACCCAAAAAAACTGGTAAATATCGTTTTTTTGTGTTATCTTACTTGAAATATTTTATGAGAGTTGAGTATATGTGTTTTCGTTTATAATCCACTCTAAAGATACACAAGTTTCCCTGAAACTCAATAAAATCCGTAAGCATTTATTCTGTTAAATAAGTCGTAATAAGCTGGTCATTACCTGTCATTATTTTTTTCAGGTCTGTTTACCTGAATTAGTTGTTCCTTGTTCACCAAATTCAACAACTACTCCGATTGTGCCAATTGGACCAATATTTTCATCATCGACTACTACTGAGGATGCAATATCAACTCAAACGATAATAAATTCGAAAGTTGAACCTTTGACCACTCCATCAGACTTCATTTCTACTCCAGCCATAACGTCAAGTGAAACAATAATACAATCAGCAACGACACCTGTAAACCTTTCACCAATGCCAACAATAACATTTAGTACTCCTTCATTAACCACTACATCGGATCCAGTAAAGATAAGTGTACAGACAACACTGACGCCTACCAATCGGACGCAGTCATCACCAACTACAAGTGAAAATTTTACGCCTTCGTCTATACCAATACAAACAACATTTATTTCAACACCAAAAGGGGTAACAACTTTATTACCAAAAACAAGTGAATCTACATCACTGCCGTCGTTAACATCAAGAAATCAACCATGGACAACTTCATCATTGACATCAAGTGCGACAAGGGAAATAGCAACTACACCATTTGACTCTACAAAAATGTCAACGCCTATTACTTCAAATACGACTAATGAAAGTCTTTTGACACCTGACATTTCTATCACTACTCCATTTGAATCATCGAGGTTGTCTACAATATCTATTGTAAATACAAATACGTCAGATGAATTATTAAGTACACCAAATACAGAAACAACCGAAGCAATAAGCAAATATACTTTTACGGAGACCCCTAAAGTAGCAAATATATCAAATGAACCTGGTAAATCATCAAGCACGCAGAGTGTATCTAGTATTTTAACAACTAGTGAGTTGGCTTCTACGGGGACTCCTGAAATACCAAATGAAACTGCAAATACACCAGTAGAGTCCTCAACTATGCCAACTATAACAACTATTACGACAATACCAAATAAAACTGCAAATACTCCTGTCGAGTCATCAAATATGACAACTGTTACAACTATTACGACAATACCAAATAAAAGTGCAAATACTTCTGTCGAGTCATCAAGTACGCCAACTGTAAGAACTACTACGACAGTACCAAATGAAACTGTAAATACATCTGTCGAGTCCTCAACTATGACCACTGTAACAACAACTACGACAATATCAAATGAAACTCCAAAAATACCTGTAGAGTCATCAAGTATGCCAACTGTAACAACTACTACGACAAAAAGCGAATTCACATCTACTGAGATTTTTGAAACACCTAATTTACCAAATGAAATATCTAACACACCTAGAGAATCGTCAAGTAAGCCAAGTGTATCGCATACTACAACAGTAAAGGAATTAACTTCTTCTAAGATGCCTGAAACACCAAATGTGCCAAGTGTTACAACAAATACACCAATAAATCAATTAACATCTATAGACATGTCTGAAACATCAAATCTACCAAACGAAATATCAAGTACACCTGATGATTTATTAAGTACAATAACTGTGCTAACTATTCCAACAACCATTGCATATACTTCTAAGAAGACTAGTGAAGTACCAAATATAAGAAATGAAACACCAATTACACCTAGTGAATCATCAAGTACACCAAGTAGACCAAATACTTCAACAGTAAACGAATTTACTTCTACTGAGACGCCTGAAACGTCCAATATGACAAGTGAAACTCCAAATAAACCTGATGAATCATCAAATATGGCAACTGTGACAATAACTACAAAAATAAATCAGTTCACATCTACGGGCATGCCAAAAATAACAAGTATATCTAGTGAATTACCTAATACAATAAGTGTGCCAACTACATCAACAATCTTCGGATACACTTCTACAGAGACCGCTGAAGTACATGTGTCCAATGAAACACCGACTACATCGAGGGAATCATCAAGTACACAGAGTGTACTAAATACTTCGACAATAAATGCAATAAGTTCTACTGAGACGCCTGAAACGCCGAGTATGACAAGTGAAACACATAAACCTGTCGAACCATCAAATATGCCAATTGTTACAACAACTACACCAATAAATCAATTAACATCTACGGGCATGTTTGAAACATCAAATCTACCAAATGAAATATCAAGTACACCTGATGATTTATTAAGTACAATAACTGTGCCAACTATTCCAACAACCATTGCATATACTTCTAAGGAGACTACTGAAGTACCAAATGTAAGAATTGAAACACCAATTACACCTAGAGAATCATCAAGTACACCAAGTAGACCAAATACTTCAACAGTATACGAATTGACTTCTACTGAGACGTCTGAAACGTTAAATATGACCAGTGAAACACCCCAAAAATCTGTAGAACCATCAAATATGCAAAGTGTTACAACAACTACACCAGTAAATCAATTAACATCTACGGACATGCCTGAAACATCAAATCTACCAAATGAAATATCAAATACACCTGATGATTTATTAAGCACAGTAAATGTGCCAAATATTCCAACAACCATTGGATATACTTCTACGGAGACTCCTGAAGTACCAAATATGACAAATGAAACACCAATTACCCCTAATAAATCATCAAGTACGATAAATGAACCATCCACATTATTACCAATTACACTAGCTACCCCCACTTCATCTGAAACTTTAACTTTGCCTACAAAGCAAAGTGAAGAAACATCAACAAAACCTAGCATTGAGCCTTACACAGCAACATCTTCCGAATCCATTACAACGTCGAGTAAAGACAATGAATTACTTACTACGACGCAAAGTAGTTCAATTAATACTAATTCCAGTAAAGAAGTTACTGCTATTCCAGTAGAACCTTTAATTACGAACCCAAATGAACTTGTAACAATAACGTTACCACCAAACCTAAATGAATCATGCGTCTCAGGTACTCTGTATCCTAATCCTAGTGATTGTCACCAATTCTATATCTGCATATGTGGTGAACTAAAACTGACAGAATGCGAAGATGCATTTTTGTTCCATCCAACAAGGCTAGTAAGTACTGTAATTTTATAAAGATCGTCTTAAATGCACACGTTTGGAAATCCATTTATTTTATACATACTTTTGATAAGCTCAGAGTTGTTTATAGTAATTTTCCTTTTTAACTCTCCGTTTTAAGTAGGAATTTATAAAAAAAATGAGTTCATAATAAAAGATGTCGATGAGTCTTATAATGCGTTTCTTTAATTTCCTGTATATTTTCAGGGATGCCTACCTTCAATCATAACACCATGTTCGTCGATTCCAACTATGCATTCAACAGCACCAAGATCTCCAATAGCACCAATGAATTTATCAACGATATCGATGTCATGTGAACAATTTACATCAATGCCAATTCAATCTACAACATCTGTTTCTCAAAATACAAAAACTGACCCAATAATATACACAACTCAAGATTCCCAATATAAAATGTCTTCTCAAAAACCACATTACATTGAAACAACACCAATGCCTATTATAGATAAAGCATCTAGTGCTCCAGCTATAACTACAGCAAGAGAATTTGTTACAACTACAAGTGAAGAATTCACTACACTAAACGAAGCTACAACCTTCGTATATGAAGATGTTACTTCAACACTAAGTGACACAATGAGTACAAAGCCAAGAGAACAATTTACTACTACAGCTGAGACACTAATCACCACGCCAAGTGAGCCATTTTCTCTAACGCCAAATGAAGTGTTTGCTACAACACCAAGTGATAGATCACCTACGATATCAAATGTAACAATAACTACGAGGCCAAGCGCAGCTACTTTATCTCCAAGTGAAGCACTTACTACAATAACAAATGAAGTTACACCACAGACTGAAGAATTCACCTCAACTTTCGGTAAAGAATTTACTAAAAGTCCAAGCAAATCTACTACTCCTTCAAGTGAGGTTATAACTTCAACATCAAGTGATGCAATGACTACAACGGCAAGAGAACAATTTATTACAGTTTCTGATAAATCAATTTCTACCATGTCAAGTAAAATATTTACAACACCAAGAGAAGAATTTATTATTACTTCAAGCGATAAATTTACAACAATTTCCAGGGAAATAAATATTGCAACTCCAACTGAAGCTACTTCAAGTGATCCAATTGCAACACCCGGTGAAGCAATAAGTATAATGCCAAAAGGAGTACTAACTACTGTACCAACGAAAGAATTTACTTTTGTGACAACGGAAACTACTATACCTTCAAGTAAAAATATGATTACTACACCAAGTGAAGTATTTATTACTACACCAACCATGGCCACTGTACCTCGCAGTGAAAATATGATTACAATAACGGATAAATCAATTACTGCAACACCAGGTGAAAAAAATAGTACACCTCGAGATGAATCAATCTATTTTACTACAAAAGAAGTTACTATAACATCAAGTGATGAATTTGCCACACAAACAAGTGAGAAGTTTACTACACCTTCAGATAAGATAGTCGTTACTCTAACAAAAGAAGCTACGCTACCACCTGAGATAAGCACTTCACCAACAAGTGAATCAACTATTTCGACATCAGAAGTATTCATTACGCCACCAAAAAAAGCGTCTTCTACATCTAGAACTGAAGCGAGTATTGCTACAGATGAAGCAATACTAACCACATTAAAAGAAAAAATGTTTACAACACAGAGTGAAGTATTAACAACAACAAAAATTAAACCATTTACTACACCTAATAACAAACATACTTCCGACGAAGAATTTTCTATGACGCCAAGTTATATATTGACTACTACACTAAGCAAAAATTCTAAAGATCCAAGTGAGGCAATCGCTACTACAGTAAAAGCTGAATTTATTTCAATGCCAAGTGAAGTAGTGCCTATGATGCCAGAAGTAGTTACCACTGTAATACCATATGAATTTAGTTCTACTTCTCCATTTGAACAAACGACATCGTCCACGAAATCAAGCGAAAAAACTACACTGCTACCTCCAAACATAAATAAACCATGTGATTTGGGTTCCTTATTACCAGATCCCACAGACTGTCATAAATTCTACATTTGTATAGATGGTGAACTAAGACGTAATGAATGCCAAGGTACATTTATGTTCCACCAAATTAAATTAGTAAGTACCTACTATTTACATATTTTTAATAACAACAAACGAAGTGTTTACCTGCAATGTTCTAATTTGATTGTAGGATAACATACATATTTCTTTGCAATCGAAAATAAAGGTACTGATTTACAACTCTCTCCGATTTCTCCAAACAAATGACCAGAATTAAAATTTTCATAACATTTTTTGTTACCACTTCTTTGGAATACAGTGTTTTTAAAATGCGGAGGGAACAATCTTGCCTTAGTTATGCATTGTTTAAATCAGTCTACAGACTCACTCATTTAGCTAAAGGAATTTGTGTTTCTCATTCTCAGATCTGCCTGCCACAATTTTTAGTACAATGTCCAACACCAGGAGAAAAAACAACCACACCTCGAGACGAATCAATCAATATTACGACAAAAGAAGTTACTATAACATCAAGTCATGAATTTACAGAGACAAGTGAGAAGTTTACTACACCTTTAGATGAGATAGTCGTTACTTTATCTAAAGAAGCTACGCTGTCACCTGAGATGAGCACTTTACCTACAAGTGAATCAACTATTTCGACATCAGAAGTATTTATTGGTACGCCAAATGAAGAATTCATTACACCACCAAAAGAAGCATCTTCCACATCTACAAATGAAGCGAGTATTGCTACAAATGAGGCAATATTAACCACACCAAATGATAAAATATTTACATCACAGAGTGAAGTATTAACAACAACAAAAATTAAACCATTTACTACACCCAATAACAAACACACTTCCGATGAAGATTTTTCTACGACGCCAAGTTATATATTGACTACAACACTAAGCAAAAATTCTAAAGATCCAAGTGAGGCAATCGCTACTACAGTAAAAGCTGAATTTACTTCAATGCCAAGTGAAACAATGCCTACGATGCCAGAAGTAGTTACCACTGTAATACCATATGAATTTAGTTCTACTTCTCCATTTGAACAAACGACATCGTCCACGAAATCAAGCGGAAAAACTACACTGCTACCTCCAAACATAAATAAACCATGTGATTTGGGTTCCTTATTACCAGATCCCACAGACTGTCATAAATTCTACATTTGTATAGATGGTGAACTAAAACGTAATGAATGCCAAGGTACATTTATGTTCCACCAAACTAAATTAGTAAGTACCTTCTATTTATATATTTTTAATAACAACAAACGAAGTGTTTATCTAGAATGTTTTAATTTGATTATAGAATAACATTACATATTTCTTTGAAATGGAAAATAAACGTACTGATTTCAACTCTCTCCGATTTCTCCAAACAAATGACTAGAATTAAAATGCGGAGGGAACAATCTTGCCTTAGTTATGCATTGTTTAAATCAGTCTACAGACTCACTTATTTAGCTAAAGGAATTTATGTTTCTCCTCCTCAGATCTGCCTGCCACCATTTTTAGTACAATGTCCAACACCAGGAGAAAAAATAACCACACCTCGAGACGAATCAATCAATATTACGACAAAAGAAGTTACTATAACATCAAGTCATGAATTTACAGAGACAAGTGAGAAGTTTACTACACCTTTAGATGAGATAGTCGTTACTTTATCTAAAGAAGCTACGCTGCCACCTGAGATGAGCACTTTACCTACAAGTGAATCAACTATTTCGACATCAGAAGTATTTATTGGTACGCCAAATGAAGAATTCATTACACCACCAAAAGAAACATCTTCCACATCTACAAATGAAGCGAGTATTGCTACAAATGAGGCAATATTAACCACACCAAATGATAAAATATTTACATCACAGAGTGAAGTATTAACAACAACAAAAAATAAACCATTTACTACACCCAATAACAAACACACTTCCGATGAAGATTCTTCTACGACGCCAAGTTATATATTGACTACAACACTAAGCAAAAATTCTAAAGATCCAAGTGAGGCAATCTCTACTACAGTAAAAGCTGAATTTACTTCAATGCCAAGTGAAGCAGTGCCTACGATGCCAGAAGTAATAACCACTGTAATACCATATGAATTTAATTCCACTTCTCCATTTGAACAAACGACATCGTCCACGAAATCAAGCGAAAAAACTACACTGCTACCTCCAAACATAAATAAACCATGTGATTTGGGTTCCTTATTACCAGATCCCACAGACTGTCACAAATTCTACATTTGTATAGATGGTGAATTAAAACGTAATGAATGCCAAGGTACATTTATGTTCCACCAAACTAAATTAGTAAGTACCTACTATTTACATATTTTTAATAACAACAAACGAAGTGTTTATCTACAACGTTTAAATTTGAAATAAAGATATTTTTTTTGCAATCACTGTTACCGATTTACACTTCCTTGGAACACAGCGTCCATAAAATGCGGAATGAACAATCTTGCCTTATTTATGCATTGTATAAATCAGTTTACGGACTCACATACCTAAAGTAATTCATGTTTCTCCTCCTTAGATCTGCCTGCCACCATTTTTAGTACAATGTTCAACGGTTGCGACAACAACTATAATTCCTTCAGCTGATTCTCACATATCAGATAATACTTCTACAACTCCTCAATGGGTCTACGCAACATCAACACTGGCGGTGACAACGGACGAAACTTCATCGATCACACAAAACGAAGAGGAAGTATCGACGACTGAAGTATCGTCAACAGAAATGGAAATATACAAAGAGTCTCTTTGTGAAGAGAATAGAAGATACCCCGACCCTAAAGAATGCAAAACTTTCTATGTGTGTGAAGGAGGACAGTATGTGAAAAAATCGTGCCCACAGTCAGAAGAATTTAATACGATGACACTAGTAAGTATTCAGTTTAAGGGTATCATAATTTTATATTGTTTTAAACTTTCATGGTCACTAACATTAGAGTAATATAAGTTATTTACGGGATTGTTACCATGTACCTTGTTTTTAGCGAGTTTCCGATATTTCGGCACTGTTGCAAGCGATAAATGATCACGGAGTAACTGAAGTAATTGCGGGTAGGCTGTTATTGACAGACATATCGGTCTACCCTCCGACGAAGTCTTTTATTGCGTTCGATACCCGTACCACTGTTCACATTATCACTATTCACAGTATCGGATCGCGACACGACACTTTTTTGATTATTTCTGGTTTTACACATACGAACCACAGCATTCCAGACAAAAACAAGGTACATGGTAACAATCCCGTAAATAACTTATATTATCATAATTTTATTTTAAAAGCATTTAACTGCTGGATGTTTAAATCTAAAGAAAAGAAAGAATTCCTACCAGGCAGCAGCAAATTTTTTCCATAGATTCAAACATCTAGCAGTTAAATGCTTGAAAAATAAAAATATGACTATAATTGCTATTTATTTTCTTCATTCAAATGTTGAATACTTGTAAAGGTATTCTTTTGACATTGTGGGTTCAACAATGCGAAGAGATGGCGCTGCCTTGCAGTCTAAGAAATACTAGAGAAAATTGGACATGGACAGTTAGGGCGGAGTTACCATAATGGTCATTGAACCCGCCCGGAGAGCGGGGGGTGCGGGTTCGGGGACTCGAATCAGACAGTTTTCGTTTTGGTTACCCAATAAAAAGCAATGCAAATATTGCATCAGGTGCACGAATTCGAGTAATGTCTTTGGTGTTCCCTAAAATATGCTAACGACTAAGTGTAATTGCGCCTTTAAGGTCACGCGAGACTATCCGTAGATAATATAAAAATGTCATCAAAAAACATAGAACACCCATAGTTTGACAACAACAAATAAATTAAAAAATAAAATCTATACAATAGCTTAAAAACAATATCAAAATCTAATATATAAAATCGGTAGGCGCAGTCATGAGGTAAAAATGTCATACTTTGAACTATTATTAATATTTGACAAAACAGTTTAGAAAATTTTGCTAAAAAAAAACCAAGCGGGCCGGGCAGCGGACGGCATTCGAACCCGCACCCTTCGCAATCTGGGCGAATGCACTGACCAATTATGCTACCACGGCCCTGATGGCCGCGTCGAAATTTTCCCAGCTTTAAGCTGCAAGGCAGCGCCATCTCTTCGCATTGTACGTACCCCACAATGTCAAATGAATACTTTTTCAAGTATTAAACATTTGAAAGAAGAAATAGAAATTATAGTTCGGTTTTTATTTTTTTAAGCATTTAACTGCTAGATGTTTAAATCTAAAGAAAAGTTTTACAAAAAAACAATTTAACAATTATTGATTAAGTGAGAGCGTATATGTATGAGTGAGTTATATTGGTGGTGTGTTTATGCAAGGGTGTCGTGTGTGTGTGTGTGTGTGTGTTTGTTTGTTTCCTTCTTATTATCTGTAACTGTCTCCTATTTTAATTTTAATAGATTTTCTGTATCTGAATAGCTTTGCTTCAAAAGATAGGCAGAGGCGTTCTTTTTCACTTCATACCTATTTTAGGTATAAATGGAAATAAACTTATGCATCTTATTGTGCAAGGTTGAAGAGAGAGCATCATATTAAATAATCATCATAATATTTGAATTTGAAAATGGACAATTCGTGGCTCTTTAGTGTCGCCGCACACGGGCCATCGACCACAACCACAAAACGCCGCCACCGGCATATTTCTTGTAGTTTTTATACATTTTATATGGACTCGCCACACACGGTACGCCGGTGGCCGCCACACGCTACAAATCGTCGTTGCTCGCTTCTTGTGGCCCGCACCGGCCACTTTTAATGCGCCGATACGAAACGTCGCCACACGTCACTCGCGCGATTCCCCTCTCTCCCTTACCTTAGTCGGCCGCTGTCGCGCGCTTCAGCCACTTTAGTAGCCGCTTCTAGCTTCTCGTGGCGGCGTTTGTGGCTCTGGCGTGTGTCCCGTGTGCGGCGACACTTAAGGGTGTATAAAAAGACATACCACTTATTTTATAACTAGCGGCCCGCCCTCGCTTCGCTTCGGTGTAGAGCTGAAGTGTAGACTACAGTTTTTGTTCTCAGGCATGTATTATACACAATGACATTCATCTATGATTATTCTTATACCTGCATGCAAAGTCGCAGCCCGATCGGTTTAAAATTGACAAAGTTTCATACAAACTTTCATTCCCTATTTTATCCTCTTGGGGGTAGAATTGATCAAAATCCATTCTTACGTCATAACATCTACCTGCATGTTTTTATTTATTTTTAAGCATTTAACTGCTAGATGTTTAAATGTAAAGAAAAGTTTACTAGAAAAAAATCCACGCGGACGGGACTCGAACTTTGCTAAGGGTGCGGGTTCGGGTCCCGTCCGCTGCCTGGTCCGCGTGGTTTTTTTTTCTAGTAAACTTTTCTTTAGATCTACCTGCATGCCAAATTTCAGTCCGATCCGTCCAGTGGTTTGGGCTGTGCGTTGATAGATCACTATGTCAGTCACCTTTGAGTTTTATATATATAGATGACTGATATGAAGACTAAAATTAATATTTATTTTTCAGATGTGCCTTCCAAAGTTCATAGCGAAATGTGTAAGATACCCAGAAGACATTTATTGCTACGATGGAAAGTTTGGGCAGAAACATTATCTTAAATAAATTGAATTCATAGGTAATAGAAAAGGTACAAAAAAACAGATATTTACTTATATAAAGAATTTGTATACTGATGTTAGAAATAAAGACTTTTACTATTAATATCGCTCTTTCTATACATGAGAATAACCCAGAAATGTCATTAATAGCCCTTTTACAAAATTGCGCCGCTGCCGTACAGATGCGAGTAGGTAGATTTGCACTAGTATATATTGCATTTTATGGGTGATGTTTCGAGTCTTATAAAATAATTATTAATGAACTAATTATAAAAATATATAAATATTTTAGTAGTTGAATAATGGTAGGTTAGTTTTATGAAAGTTTTTGATAGTAATTCTATTTAATTCAATATCAAAATACGGGTAAACCTGCATTGTTTTTTAGGAAAACTCATGGAGGTTAGATGTTTTTTTTTTTTGATAATTAGTGAGATAGAAAATCAAAATTCTAATACATTATGTTACAACAAAACATATTTCTGATGTCGTAGTAATTAATTTGATCTTATTTATTGAACATTATTTAGAGATTCAGGCGTTTGAAGTTGTGCATATTATCGTTTTTTCCGTAAACTAGCTGCGGTAGAACGATCAGTACAAAAAAAGGAAAATAGCATTTGCAAATATTGTAAATTATCTTACAATAGGAAGAATAAATCTACTGTTTATCTCTCTTGGAAATTGTCAAAATCTTTTCTAAGGGGGTATACGAGGTGCTCACAAATTACGATTTTTTTTTTGCAAAAATTGTGAAAGAGCTCTTAATACAAAAGTCATGCTTTGAGTAGTAGAAACCTAAAAGCTATAATAAAATCATTAATCATTGTGATTACCAAAGAAAACAATGATAAAAATATGGCAAGATTTCAGTGAAAATAAAATAAATAAAAAAAAACAAAATAAATTAAATGACTGCAGAGCACAACTCTGTCGCGTTACTGTTTCAAATATTGGCAATAGCCTTAACTATCATTAGAGCTTTCATCCCGGGAGTCTCGGTTTTGAAAATTCTGAGTCTCGACGATTTTGTCGCATTTTCGATACTCGAGACCTCAACTCTAGTTTTCTAGACTTTCGAGACTTAGTTAAATAGTCTACAAAAAATAACAATCTACAAAAAAAACTACTAAACTAACATTATTTTTTTAATTCGCTTATGTGGCAACACTGTAAAGTGAAAGTTAGGATAATCTGTAGAGATTGCAACCTAACCTCAAACACAATACGTTCACAACTTCACTTATTGTTTCTTTATAAAAAGTGTGAATTATAAAGCAACGATGTGTTCCTTAGCGCAACAGAGGTAAGCATTTAAATCAGTGCTATAATTATTTGTTATCCACCCTCCCTACTTGCGTTGAAACAGAAAGTGCTTTTTCCAATGCAGGTTACTTTTGCAACAAGATCAGATCCTCTCTATCTGAAAACACTTTAAATGCCCTTTGCTTTCTGCGTGTTATATTATAAAAATGAAAAATGTTCATTTTACTTATATTTGATTACATTGTAATAGTAGATTATTAAAGAACTTAATTGAAACATATTGTATTAATTGCCTAATTGTATAAACCTTGAGTATGAAACTTATTTTCAAAGTCTCGAAAGTCTCGTTTTTCCCGGGAATCCCGGGATCGGTCCGAGTCTTGATTTTTTTCCCGGGACTCGAAAATGTATCGAGACTGAAAGCCTTAACTATCATGACCGTAATATATCACAAATAAGTTTAAAATAACTTTTTAATTATTGTGACCACTTTAGTTATCATTTTCTGGGTCCACAGCCATCTCCGGAAAAAGCTATGTCAATATTATTTTTTAAAGTAGGGGGAGGTAAACGGGTTCGTGATAATTCCACGGAGGAGCTCCATGGCGCAAGTGATGATTGAAGTGATCGTTGAAGTTAAGCGACTTCCGCAGTGGTCGGTCATTGGATGGGTGACCAAAATTTACTATCTCGAGCTCCTCCGTGTTTCGGAAGTCACGTTAAACCGTTGGTCCCGGCTACATCTGTAGTCGTTAGCACCCGCCAATCCGCACTGGGCCCGCGTGGTGGGTCATGGCCCTACCTCCCTATTCCATCCATAAGGAAGGCCTGTGCCCCAGCAGTGAGGACATTAATAGGCTGGTGATGATGATAATTCAAAATGTATGATACTCGAAGGTGCACGACCAGTATTTGATTTTACTTATTGGCTTCGAAGGCAGACGAGCAGATGAGCCTCCCAATGGTAAGTTGTCACCTTCGCCCATGGCTATAGCCATAGCCGTGTAACACTCGTGTCTTGGGACACTATTTGATGTTACATCTTTCCTCTCGCTTTCCTGCAATTTGTGGGGGTGATTTCGTGAAATGGGACGTAAGTGTGTAACAGGAAGTCGCGAAAGCGCGCGTTATTTGATTTGATTTTAGAACATAATGTTCAAATGGCTTATTCCTTTTGTAGTAGGTTTTATTTCTTTTTTTACTAATATAAGGTGAGGTTTCAAATGTTACACATCATACGCGACTACTGTAAGGCTTGCTCGTTTTTTTTATGCCGCGTTTGAAGAGGACCTAGGAAACACCGTGGAGTAGCTCATTCCATAACTTTATTGTGCGTGGACGAAAAGATCTCTAGAATCGAACAGTAGTAACTTAGTCGTAACTTAGCACGAACCAATATCGAATTCGAATATTCAGCGAATGAGAAATGTCATTGTTAAATGTATACAGTTGTGGACTTCAGTACCCTTAGCACGAACCAATATCGAATTCGAATATTCTGCGAATGAGAAATGTCATTGTTAAATGTATACAGTTGTGGACTTCAGTACCCTTAGCACGAACCAATATCGAATTCGAATATTCTGCGAATGAGAAATGTCATTGTTAAATGTGTACAGTTGTGGACTTCAGTACCCTTAGCACGAACCAATATCGAATTCGAATATTCTGCGAAAGAGAAATGTCATTGTTAAATGTCTACAGTTGTGGACATTAGTACCCTTAGCACGAACCAATATTGAATTCGAATATTCTGCGAATGAGAAATGTCATTGTTAAATGTGTACAGTTGTGGACTTCAGTACCCTTAGCACGAACCAATATCGAATTCGAATATTCTGCGAATGAGAAATGTCATTGTTAAATGTGTACAGTTGTGGACTTCAGTACCCTTAGCACGAACCAATATTGAATTCGAATAGTTTGCGAGTCCGGAATGTGATTGTCAAATTTCGTATGAAAACTTGAACAATCAATACATATAGGTATGACAATGACACTTCGATATTGGTTCGTGCTAGGGGTACAGTGTGTTTAGGTTATATGGATGAACTCGATGAAAGGGAGATCAGAGAATTCCTTACTAGGTCAATAAAATAGTATGCCACATAATCATAGAATACAACTATATCTCATTACAGGCATTTTAATTGGCCTCTTTGTTAATTAATAATAATAAATTCTTTATTTTATTTTTGTTTTAGGGACTTTTGAACCAAAATTTCCATATCAGCCCCATCGTAACCTGACCATACAATTTACTTAAAATTATTTAATTAATTAACTATTACATAAAATTTTTGCTGCCATATTGCAAAGCACACCAGCCTCCTCCGATAGGGGGTTGATATTAATTTTATAAATTCTTTATTGACAGAGAGATATTACACAATGGGTGGCGTTATTGAAAAATAGCAATCTCTTCCTGGCAACTCTTAATGGAAAATGAAATAACTTTAAAGAAACAAAAAAAGGGGAAGAGTGTTAAAGCAATTGTTAGCGTTACAATAATTATTAACGACGGCATCACCTATTATTATTATTAAGATAATTATAAAATAAATGTGAATTATATTGGCATAGGTAACTAATTTTGTGAGGCGTAGATTCTACTGACATCCGATACTTAAAATATAGTCTAAGGACTACGACAATTCTTTAAAACAGCGGGAATCATTTTTCGCTTTTTAGTTGAATCTACGTCGTGCTCGGGACAAGTCTCGTGTTGTTAATCAAAGCGCTTAAGTGTGGATTCTGTTCATTAAAAAATGGGAGAAGTAAACTGTAAGTAATTTATTTATTTGTTTTATTTACAAAACTACCGATAAGACAAACAAGAATTTTAAATATAATATTTTATTAAGTAAATTAAAAAATAAATTCATACATAGACAATAAAAATTTAAAAAAAACTTTTAAAAATCTTCCAATGAAATAACCGAACGCTCAATATAAGTCTTTCGAAGGTAGCTCGACAATTTTTAATAAAAAATCATTATTCTGACGATGCAGACCTGAAAAGGCTGCGAAACGTCAATAAATAAATAAAGTTTCGTGCATTAACCCGAAAAAACTAGTTTTATTTAATGAGTGATGTGCGTGAAAACCTAAGAAACAAATAGGATAATTTTGTGAAATTAATAGCAAGGTGTAATTACAGTTAACATTAGTGAAAACAATACTATACAAGCTGTGTTGGAATTCTTTGAAATCGTACAAAAACTGGGAATTTTTATCCAACACAAGTTCTAAGTGTCCCAACATTAAATTACCACTATTAAAAATTGCTCCTTTCAATGGAAATCCACATCTTTGGTTAACTTTTCGCGACATGTATTTATCTTTGATACAGAGAATGAAAACATTGATAATATTAGTAAATTTCATTATCTTAAGTTATATTTTGATAGGACCGGCTGCTTCGGTGATTAATTTTGTCACAGTTTCCTCAGATAATTATACAATTGCATGGTCTGTACTTTGCGATCGGTATAATAATAAGCGTCTTTTGATAAATGAGCACATTAAATGTTTGTTTTCAATTCAACAATTCACTAAGGAATCCCACGGTGGTATTCGTAATTTAATTGATATCTTATCTAAAAATTTTAATGGGTAAGAGCCCTTTCACATTTTTTGCAAAAAATCGTAATTTTTGAGCGCTTCGTTATCCCCCCTTTTTTGCCTATTTCCAATATAAGTAAACAGTAGATTTATTCTTCCTACTGCTAGAAAAAACGATAATATGCACAACTTCAAACACCTGAACCTCTAAATAATGTTCAATAAATAAGATCAAATTAATTACTACGACATCAGAAATATGTTTTTGTTGTAACATAATGTATTACAATTTTGATTGTCCTTCTCATTAATTATCAAAAAATAAACATCTAACCTCCGTGAGTTTTTCCAAAAAACAATGCAGGTTTACCCGTATTTTCAAATTGAATTAAATAGAATTACTATCAAAAACTTTCATAAAACTAACCTACCATTATTGAACTACTAAAATATTTTTATAATTAGTTCATTAATAATTATTATGAAAGACCCGAAACATCACCCGTAAAATGCAATATTACTAGTGCAAATCTACCTAAGCGCTGATCAGTACGGCAGCGGCGCAATTTTGTAAAAGGGCTCTAAAAATTCACTAGGCGAACCGACTGACAAATGGGATACGCTTATTATCTATATGACCTCAGGAAAGTTGGACAGTGTGACTTCTAGAACATGGGAGGAATGTAGGAGTAATAAGGATTCTCCCGTATTGGAGGATTTTTATTGTTTTCTTCGTTAACGAGCTACTGTTTTAGAAACTGTAAATGCTAGCAAACTTTCAATTAATAAACATGAAAAATTCGGCACAGTCCTCCTAACGTGTCATCTTTTGTTGGCTCTGCTGTTGCTCCTTCATCCCCACTCAGACTTTGTCCCATCTGTAAACAAAATCACAAATTATATGAGTGTACTGAACGACATTAAATACCCTAGATACAACATCACGAACAAAATTGTAGCCGAAACCTGTCCAAAAGGTACATTGGATGACGACACGGAGACCCGTAAGATAATCGCGTAGTCAAACCAATAGTAGGCATTATTTAAATATTGAATCACCTTTCAGAGGTCCGTTGGCGGTGGACCTCTGAAGTCTGAATCTTGCGTTTCATACACAATTTAAAAAACAAAAAACCTAAATTTGTTTAAACCATCGGTTCGCAAATCTACGGCGGGAAACCATGTACTGAAAAGAACCGGCAAGAAACTCAGCAAGGGCTGTTTTTTCTCCCTGTATTATCTTATCAGAGTGAAAATTAATAATTTAAACTACAGTATTTACCTTGGTCTTGTAATTGAACTTAACGAAGTCATTTAAATAGGTAAAAAATACGACAAAGTATATAATGTTTTATGTTTTTTTTATTAATGTTAATTTTGTTTTTCTATGTCCAGCAGTGGACGAGCATGGGTCGATGATGATATAATGTTTTTGTTTATGACAAACCTTATAATTAATCTGCAATCCTTCTTTGCGAAGCTTTCCCATTGGAGCATTTATAAAACGCATTACATACTTCTAGAGAGGTAGAAGATTATCATCAGATTTATTTCCACACAAAAAATCGATGGTAGTACATACTTCTGACATTTAATTTTGCTGCATTCTCGTTGTTATTGGCATCTTTACTCTGTTTTTGTGAGCATCCGTTAGCAGATATTAGGTACTCTTTTGTAAAAAAAAATCGGACTATAGGGGGTCTCAGGCAGTACTCTATAATCCGACAAATTCGATAGTTCGACACTGCCCTGCAAAATGTTTGTCGGAAACTCACATTTCTGAAGGGTGACAAAATTAATAATTAAAGCTCAGCCACATTATCCTCTCTAAATTTTTCTTATTGCTAAAGTTTTTTTTTTCTTTGTTGTTTAAAACATAAAATTTCCTCAATGAAACTAAACATATATTTTTATATGCAAATAGGGTGAAATAACACGCCTATAAATGCTTGCACTCTAAGTAATACTTGCGTCGAAGCCTACCCGGGCTAGTAATAGTAGAAAGGACGGAAAACAGGGTAGAAAATGGGGTCAGGGTTGGCTACCTTAACACCATTTCCTATCCCGTGGAGCCTGGAACCTTAACCATATTTATTTGAAGTCCACTTGACTTTGACCTGATTTATCAATATTATCCTATCCCGGTTAAATATTTTGGATAAACTGATGAAAAAAGTCTAACCTTGGTGTCAGATTCAAATTTATATCGTTGAGAGCAATAAAATTGAGTGTGAACACCTTGTTCACACATCTAGAAAGCACCACAAATGTCGGGATGAGGCACGACATCAGATATACCTTCGGGGAATATTGTTCGCTGTGGATGCTTTGAAAACTCAAATGGTCCAACAGTACCCTTAGTACAAGTTTTACAATTACGAAAACTATGATAGTTTTCGTGAGCTCGCACTCGTACTTAGGGTACTGATTTTATTGTTTTCGTTTCAATACAAATAAACGTTGTTAAAATTCTATCATTAAATCATTTGCGTCTTCTTACATTTTAAGTATCTTTGATTACTTTTCACCAAAATGGAAATAGAAACATAATTTACTCAAACTCGTACTAAGGGTACGAGTTCTATCTCAGTACGAGTACTGTTCGATCTCATTGATAAGTCAAATATCGAAGACTTATACAATATATTTGTTGATAAAAAATAGATGGTGAAAATATTGTGGTTCTTCTTCTAACCTAACCTAACCTACGTTTCACAAATAAAATTCTGATTCTGTAGTTTCAGACGAATCTGTAATAAAAAAAATACGTGTGGCACTCGGGGACTGCCGCTGTTAAGCTATTGCATAGCATTATTTATCAACTTATGCAATTATAATTATTTATGTATTTTATTTATGCAGTATTTTTTTTTCTTTGATATTAGTAGATGGCGAGGCAGGCCCTTATGATATTTTATTGGGTAAGCACAGCAAACAACAGCATTGCCCGGCGCCAAAAAAATTTCCACTAGCTCTACAGTTTACCATGTTTAGTCTAAAATTTTAAATTATAATTATTAAGTCTAAATAAAAGGGAGACAAATAAAAATACGAAAAGGTGCTGGGGTCTAAAAAAATATAATAAAAAATACGAGTGCGGGTTTTGAACCGACGACCGCGATGGTGCGTCGAACATTGGTCAAGTGGCAAAAATTTAACACACTGCGCCGTTTAGATCGATACTAGAAAGGCAAAAATTGTGTTCATATGCACTCTTGTCAGGTTATTTTCGTTACGGAATTTCTTGATTCGGTCGCCGCGCTCAAAGCCCGCGATAAAATCTATACAATAGCTTAAAAATTTCTCTGTTTATGCTACTGTTAGCTTCGGAACAAATTTTGATAAAAATTTAGAATTGCAATTCATTTATTCAGTCTAGTCCAAGGTTGGGCCAACTATTTGTATGTATCCACGTCTGTTCCGAATAAATGTTTTTCATTTCATTTCATTTTTCATTTCATTTCATTTCCTTATCGTGCCAATATTTACTATCAGAACCCACGGCGCCGCGGCGTCGTAACCGTATATAATTCTATCAATGATCAAATTGATCAAGCAGCACGATGCAATGGTGCAGGTGATAAGCGCGTTCGGTTGCGATCGTTGAAGTTAAGCAACTTTCGCAGTGGTCGGTCATTCGATGGGTGACCAAAAATCCTCATATTCCTCCGTGCTGCGGAAAGCACGTTGAGCCGTTGGTCCCGACTGCATCTGTAGACAGTAGCACCCGCCAATCTGCACTGGGCCCGCGTGGTGAGTCATGGCCCAATCTCTCTATTCCATCCATAGGGAAGGCCCTTGAAGGAGCGGGGTCCTCTTCTACAGGTATTATTTAACTTACAAGTGGGCCTCCATAAGGAAAATTGTAACTTTCACATAGTTAAAGAAATAAATTAATAACATTTTTTTCCGTGCCCCTTGTTAAGGCGCTGTCCCACGATCTGTGTTGTCACGGGCGAGGCCGCGCCGCGCAGTGTTGCCAAACGTATGAAAATGCTAAAGTTTGATATTTAGAAGTATCTATACATGATACGCGGTGATGATACGATGATACGAATAAGGATGCATTTAGTGATGGCATAATGAATCTGTACTTACTGAGACGATCCTTTGTGGACTGGACATTTATTTACTTTCTTATAATATTTTTGGGGGACAGAGAGAGAGAGATTTTTTATTAACTACATATTTGAGACTAGTGTTATAAAAAGAAAAAAAACACATTTACTTGAATATAAAAAAAAACTAAATTAGAAAATAACTTAAAACTGTACCATGCTCCAGCATGATGCTGTTGCCACACGCTAAAACTAAGGCCCGTATTACAGAATAACAACTAAGTGTTGTACTTTACTTGAGTATAGTTAGAAAGGGATGTCGCTATGTGCTATATATAGCGACATCCCTTTCTAACTATGCTCAAGACTACATCAATCACTGAAAATCTTTCTATAATACGGGCCTAAGTGAGTGACAACAACGCTGGTATTCTGGCCAATTTTCGTTTGTGCACATGATACAAACAGTCAACATTGTTCAAATATTATATCAAAATGTACGATATATCTATTTACCTTGTATCATGTTAAGATACTGCTAAATCTCGAACGTTAGAGTTCTCATATGTTTGGCAACCATGCGCGGCGCGGCCTCGCCCGCTACAACACATATCGTGGGACAGCACCTTTACACTTGCCCCTCGCATGACCCTGGCTACTCTTTAAAACTAATTTAGGGAAAGTCCCTCGAGTGTTCATTGCAGAGTTCTTAGAACTTGTGATAATAGCTTTGAGCACAATCAACAATTATCTTACTATCTTATCAACATAATAAAAATATTCTAAACAATCATTATTTGCTGCAAACAAAATGTGTGTTTCATGTAAAATTCATTATCATCATCATCATCATCAGCCTATTAATGTCCCCACTGCTGAGGCACAGGCCTTCCCTATGAATGGAATAGGGAGATTGGGCCATGACCCACCACGCGGGCCCAGTGCGGATTGGTGGGTGTTTACGACTGCAGATGCAGCCGGGACCAACGGCTTAACGTGCCTTCCGAAGCACGGAGGAGCTCGAGATAGTAAATTTTTGGTCACCCATCCAATGACCGACCACTGCGAAAGTTGCTTAACTGCAACGATCGCAGCTGAACGCGCTAACCACTTGCACCATCGAGCTCCTCGAGCATGTAATATTAGTAGGTACTTTATCATTATTCATGGGTTTACTGTCCTTAAAAAGGTCCTAAAAAAATTAGAAGGTTCATCAATTCATCGCATTTTTATGTTTGTTCCTTGAATACTCGAAGATGTGCACTGCACCACTAAGGAAAGTTTTTCTTGTTTGATCATAGGGTGAAGATCGACTGATGGGATCCTTGAGAAATGGAGAAAAATCTTCGACAATTGTAGACGTGTGTGTATATTAGTGTGGGGGAGTTCAATGGCGCGGGTCGTTGGCGCGTTCGGCTGCGATCGTTGGAGTTAAGCAACTTTCGCAGTGGTCGGTCATTGGATGGGTGACCAAAAATCTACTAACTCGAGTTCCTCCGTGCTTCAGGAGGCACGTTAAGCCGTTGGTCCCGGCTGCATCTGCAGTCGTTGGGACCCGCCAATCCGCACTGGGCCCGCGTGGTAGGTCATGGCCCAATCTCCCTTTTCCATTCATAGGGAAGACCTGTGCTCCAGCAGTGGGGACATTAATAGGCTTTTTAAAAAAATCTCTGCTCTTTATTTATAACGGCAACAGATAGACGCTTTGAAATAATTGAAATAAAATAATTATTTTCCCAAACAACAATTGCACAAATCCTTATCTGTGCTCTAAATTTTCCGGTTAAGGTTTATGGACATCTAATCTATCAAAAGATATGAGCTCAATTATAAGAAATACACTGATAAGTTTGCCTACCACAAAAATTATGTATATTCTTTAAAAATTTTAAAATATTAGGTCACATATATTGCGGAGCAGCAATCGTGAACATACGAGTATACAAATTTTGCAATTTTTTTTTTGCGATAGCAATTTTCAGCACATGGTATGTATACTTAGTTACTTTATAGTTTTTTCTTAAATTATCCAAAAAAAAATTGACAAAATATTTTATTTGCATCTAGAAAACATTAACCTACCTATATGTATATTGACCTTGACGACCTCCGTGGCCGAGTGGTTTGTACGCCGGGTTTCATGGTGTCACCGAATCTAGAGGTCCCGGTTTCGAATCCCGGTGGGGGCAGATGTTTGTGTGATGAATACGAGCATTTGTACTCCAGTCATGGATGTTTAATATGTATTTCTATATAAATATACTTATATACATGTACAGTATATGCATTCTATCCGTTACCGTAGTATCCCATAGCACAAGCCTTACAATGCTTACTTTGGGGCTAGGCTAATTGGTGTGAGTGTTGGAAATATTTATTTATTTATAACTATGTGACTAATGGTACTACTATTTAGTGACTAAAAAGTATGGACTTTTTTTTCAAAATGTCAGGATTTTTGTCAAGACTTTTGAAAGTCCTAAATAACCCTATACGGGGCTAGTTAATAAGCTACTAGAGAACTCACTGGCTTGTAGCTTGTTAACTCGCCCCGTGTCATCGAGGCTTAAGGCTTGTGTTATGGGATACTAGGTTAACGGATAGAATTCTACTACACAGAATACTGAGACATATAATGTACCTACTTATAAGTTTAATTTCTCTGGAAAAATATTTACTTCCATAACTCAGGGCCTCCCCTAGAAACCGCTCGGCCCACCACAACTTTACGTCTCCATCCAACATCCCGACCAGACGGCTCTCCTACTAATTAATTAAAGTTATTTTTTTTATAGCTTTATATCTTTCCGAGGCTCATATCATTAAATTGTGTGTTGCACAGACTGAAAGCTCATCATTATTCACTCATAGCCGCCAGTGCCATCCATACGATCCGCAGTCTCCATCCAACATCCCGACCAGACGGCTGTCCTACTAAATAATTAAAGTTGTTTTTAAAAAAAAGCTAATCTCCATGTACCTTGTTTTTAGCGAGTTTGCGATGTTTCGAACAATACAAACACTTCTGGACACTTGTATCGGCCGATCTACCATTTTAAGTATAAGATAGCTGATAGATGTGTCCAGCCAGAGGTACCTATATAGAAAGAAAAGAAAGAAAGAAACTTTCATGGTAATGTTATAGCTATTAACGGTATTGTTACCATGTACCTTGTTTTTTATAAGTCTCCGATATTTCGGCACTGTTGCAAGCGCCATGATCACGGAGTAACGGTGTTATAGGAGTACCGGTATCGGAGACTCATAAAAAACAAGGTACATGGTAACAATCCCGTTAATAGCTATAACATTACCATGAAAGTCTAAAACAATATACTACAATAAGTTGTTCCAGTGATGAGTAAAACTTTGTTGCTATGGCACTTAATGTTTGTGGGAGCAATATCAGCGGGCATACCCACAAATGATTGCCCGACGAATAGCGAATATCTTCTGCCCCATGAGACAAACTGCAGCCTGTATTACCAGTGTGATCACGGTAGAAAGATCTTAAAAAACTGCATGCCCGAGAAAGCCTTCGATTCCAAGCTACAGGTAAATTTAAACTCTCCATATGTATCATCATCATTAGCCTATTAATGTCCCCAATGCTGGGGCACAGGCCTTCCCTATGGGTGGAATAGGGAGATTGGGCCGTGACCCACGGGTGCTAACGACTGCAGATGCAGCCGGGACCAACGGCTTTACGTGCCACCAGAAGCACGGAGGAGCTCGTGATAGTAAATTTTTGGTCACCCTCAGGACTCAAAGGGGCCGTTCTTTCAATAAATCGTTATTACATATTTCTCATATAATATCGATTTCACTTTGAATATTTCAAGATAAGGTGTAAGGATAAAAGCCAACTATTATTATACGGGAACACCTCAAAATTCTTTATCAAATTATTCCAATCATTACGTACTAATTACTTGGATTAGTTAACAGAAGCAATAAAGATTTCTTATCAAGTATGCAATAAAATTTCATTAGGTCATATTTTATTAAAATTTATCTGTATTTTAAAATAGGCAATGAAAAAGAATAAAATATACGGATATAAGAGCGGGCGGTTTATTTGTTTCTGTGTGTAGAGGTACACATTATAGTCTCCATTGCAAATTCAGCGTCATAGCTTTAAAAGCATGCGTACATAGAGTGGCGGCCACTAAACGCGTCCACATACTTCGGTCGAGTGTTTTCATACATTTTCTATAGTATCGACTAAACAAAAAGGAAAGATACGGCACTCGCGACTCAAAAGTGATCCGCTTAAATTGTGGTGCATGACCACAATTCGCTTTAGTCACAATTGGACATTCAATCACGCTGCATGTGCACTCAATATAACAATATTACGTATATTCTGTGTTATAAAGATAAAACAATGCCTTCGATGCTTTTATAAAGAACACAAATAGTTCAAAATCAAATAACAAATGCATCGGCAACATTTTTCATTCATAAAACTGTAAAATCATTTTTTTTCTCAAAAATCATGGTTTGTCGTGTTATTAACGTAACTGCCATTTTGTTATGAAGAAAAGGACAACAATACAGCTCAGCCGTGCTGACTCGAAAGCGGACTCGCTGTTTCGCTCGCGTTGCGTTGAAGCGTACAGTTCTGTGTCGCTCGCTCGATTGAATGTTATTTACAGACGTGTGCTTGTGTGACCGTTGCTTAAGTAGTTGAGTCGGATCAATATTTTATTTGATGCTAGTATGAGCGTACCGTATCTTCCCATTTTGTTTTAATCTAAGAGTATCGACGCAAACTAAGTGTCCAAGTCGCCACCACTAAGCTCCTAGCGGCGTTTAGTGGCCGCGATAAGCGACTCGGATAAGCGAATGTGCGTTTGCTCGAGCCACTAGTGGTCGCTTTTAGTCGCCGTTATTAGTGACATTGAGCCACTTACTCTAACATAATGCTGTAACATCACTGCCATGACATTTGCTGACTGACATCTTCGAAACTGTAGATTGTTAGATTCCTATTTCATATCTGATGGTTCTTTCTTATTTACTAGTATATAGTTTATTATATATACATTAATATATACAGAAACAATGAACCTTAAAATAAAAACCTTAAAAAATATAATATAATAACTAAAATATATTACTAAAAGGAGTCCCTTTAGGCAAGGTTCCGAAGATACTGGCAGCGTTCCCCCTTTGAATAGCTAGACTAATTCGTTGTCCGAGGTAGCTGCCAGCTCTTCGGTCTCCAGTGATGTCGACTAACCTTTTTGATATTTCCTTAAAAAACCTCATAGCGCTAGGACCCCAAGGACCAAGGGTCTCGACACCGAATGGGACAAAATAATATTCGGAGCCTAGACCCCTGTATTTACAAGTTGATTGTGTACATTGTTACAGTACGTATCATTACACACGTGGTTACAGTGTGCGTAATAATTTATTTTTTTTAAATCAATACTTTTTCAGGAATGTGTCACTGTAGCTTCCGGTGGGTGCACTGTAGATGTTGGCAACGACGAGGCTCGCTTTTGGAGTCCGACAAGTACATACGTAACTACACCAACCACACCTGATGGTGAGATTTTAGATCAGTCATTTTGTTAGTTAACATTATCCGTCATTATTATCATTAATCCATTAACATCCTCGTAACTGCAGCCTTCCCTAAAGATGGAACATGGAATGGACTAAACATCTTGAGCCTCTTCAATTACGCCGTGACGTGGAGTCACTAAGCGCGTTCTATCGTCGATACCACGGCGAGTGTTCTGAGTTATTCTCTCTTATCCCACCTTCCCCTTTCCTTCTGAGGACCACGCGCGCTGGCCTACGTTGTCACCGTCTAACTGTGGCCACAATTCCAACGCTCTGCCCGCTCACGTGTTCCCTCCCTCTTACAACCTGGGATCCTTTAAAAGAGGCGTCAAGAAGAAACATGCAGGCCGGCAGGGTGAGGATGGCTGGTGTGGCAGGTAGAACTGCGTATCAACTATCTTCGCGTCTGGACTTCACCTTCACTTAACATCAGGTGGGGTGGAGTCATTTGTCGGATCTATCTATAAAAAAAAGCCTTCCCTAAAGATGGAACAGAAATAAATCATTCATTCATTAAGATTTGCAGGTGCTTACGATTGCTGATGCAGTGAGAACCAACGGCTTAACGAAGAACGAGATATAGTAAATTTTTGATCACCTACCCTAAACGCGGCCATTGTGAAAGTTGATTAACTTTCACGATTGCAGACCACTTCTTACGCCGTCTATTGTCATCCGGCGACCGGTATGGCTATGCAAAAACATTATAAAAGTATGGTTTCAGTTCAGATATTTGGTTAGTGTATATTGTCCGATAGGGTACAATTATTTTATTTTCCTGGGTCCCATCGTGGGTTTCCTGGAAGAGATTGCTATTAAGCAATAAGGCCGCCCATTGTGTAATGTCTCTCTGGCAGTGTAAATTTACTTTTATGTCCTTTGTGGTGTTATACAATAAAGATTATTATTATTATTTTCCGAAACAGTACTAGATTATACACCAAGGGGATAAAGCAGTGTTTATGTCACGGGCAGCATAATGAATTTTGAGCGTAATGAAGGACTCTGTTGTGAAATTATGGTGAGAATTCTGAATGAAGCGAAGTATTGACGACCTCCGTGGCCGAGTGATATGTATGCCGGATTTCATGGTGTCGCCGACTCGAGAGGTCCCGGGTTCGAATCCCGGTGGGGGCAGATGTTTGTGTGATGAATACATGCAATTGTACTCCAGTCATGGATGTTTAATATGTATTTCTATATAAATATACTTATATATATCTACAGTATAATGTATTCTATCCGTTACCCTAGTATCCCATAACACAAGCCTTACAGCGCTTACTTTGCAGCTTGGCTAATTGGTGTGAGTGTTGGAAATATTTGTTTATTTATTACTATTTATTCAAATCTGCCCCTGCCCAATCCTAAGGCTAGTATTTCTCAGTAAGAAATCTAGTTTTAAAAGTAGTCAAAGTCAAAGCGAGATTAAATTTCTGACCGTTTCATGAAACATAAACATTTCAAGGAAGGTCAAAGGGGAAGATCTTCCTCCTCGCTGGGTGGTGGTAGCTCGGGGGCCGCGACCCGACTGATATTGGTCGGGCATCGTATATATGGAGTGTTAGGCTCCGAATTTCTCTTGCGCGTTGTAGGCTTCCATACGTTGTGAACGCAGCGCCGGTAACGCCATCTCTTGAGGAGGTGTAAGATTGTTACCTCCATGTTAGTTATGTGTGGGGCATATAGATGTCGCCGCCACACATTGATCAAAACTCAGCTGAATAAAATTGTATTATTTCAGAAGGACATTTACGTCAAAATCTACCTTTAAGCAAAGATTTGATCTTTGTTTACTTAAGTATGGTCGACACTATTCTTAAGAGCCCTTTTACAAAATTGTCGAATTCGAATAGTTTGCAAACCGAAATGTCAATGTAAAATTTTGTATGGAAACTTGAACAGCAGCGGCACAAAGTACGTAACGAGAACCAAAAATCAGTACACATTTGACAATGACATTTCGGGCTCGCAAACGATACGAATTCGATGTTGGTTCGTGCTAGGGGTACAAGAGGGGCGTAAGTAGATTTGCAGTAGTATATATTGCATTTTACGAGTGATGTTTCGAGTGTTATAAAATAATTATTATTAATGAAGAAATTGTAAAAACATTTACATATTTCAGTAGTTCAATGATGGTAGATTAGTTTTATGAAAGTTATTGATAGTAATTCTATTTAATTCAATATCAAAATACGAGGTAAATCTGCATTATTTTTCGGGAAAACTCACAGAGGTTACATGTTTTTTGATAATTAATGAGAGGGAAAATCAAAATTCTGATACATTATGTTACAAAAAAAACATATTTCTAATGTCATAGTAATTAATTTGATCTAATTTATTGAATATTATTGAGAGGTTGAGGCGTTTGAAGTTGTCTTTTCCGTAAACTAGCTGAACGATCAGTACAAAAAAAGTAAAAAAATAGTATTTGCAAATATTCTACATTAACTTACAGTAGGAAGAATATATCTACTGTTAACTTCTATTGGATATAGTCAAAATCTTTTCTAAGGGGGTAAACGAGGCACTCACTCTCACTCTTGCGATTTTTGCAAAAATGTGAAAGGGCTCTTAGAAGAAAATACGTTTTATAGTCGAAATAAAGTTGTAACGCGAGTTTATGAAGTTTGACATACCGCAGTGTTGTTATTTTTTTCTAAGTGTAATTGAAACCATATTTAGCCCATAGACAAATTTGATCGGAGTTCAAAACGATTTTTGATTCTAGATTCAGCTGATTTGCTCTTAAAACGCGACATGTAATATGCTGAGCAATTAAGTAGTGATCTACACTTAAAACTAGCTTTGCGTGATTCGAGTTTAAATGCTACTTGAGTCGCGTTCTATAATACGAGCCTAAGACACTTTTAACCCCGATAAGCAGACTCAGCACACGTACTCTACATTAGATACGATGTGCGCCATGTTGCGGTACTGAGAAAGATCAAGTTTCTATATTTACTTCGCTTCGGTGTAGAGCTGAAGTGTAGACTACAGTTTTTGTTCTCAGGCTTATATTATACACAATGACATTCATCTATGATTCTTCTTATACCTGCATGCAAAGTCTCAGCCTGATCGGTTTAAAATTGACAAAATTTTCATACAAACTTTCATTCCCTATTTTATCCCCTTGGGGGTAGAATTGATCAAAATCCTTTCTTAGCGGATGTCTACGTCATAACATCTACCTGCATGCCAAATTTAAACCCGATCCGTCCAGTGGTTTGGGCTGTGCGTTGATAGATCACTATGTCAGTCAGTCAGTCACCTTTGAGTTTTATATATAAAGATTTAATCTTTTTTGCCTGTACACTGCAAATGGCATACTTAATGCCAATATGGCATTAAATCCGCCATTTGCAGTAACATATGGACCAGGCAGCAGACGGGACTCGAACCCTGACTCTCCACTATCCGGGCGAATGCATTGACTATTTATTCTACCGCAGCTCTGATGGCGAATTTCTATAGCCTTTCCTAAGCTGCAAAGCTGCGCCATCTCTTCGCATTGTAGGTAACCCACAATGGCAAATGAATACCTTTACAAGTATTAAACATTTGAAAGAAGAAATATCAATTATAGTTATATTGTTTTAAACTTAAACGTTACCATGCTCGGTATGGAAATTCGCTCAGACCTGAATCCAAAGGACTACATCGAAACCGTGATCAAAACAGCTTCACGCAAACTCGGAATCCTGAACAAGGTGCGGCGTTTTTTCACGCCCGATCAACTGTGCTTGTTGTACAAAACGCAAGTGCGGTCCTGCGTGGAATATTGCTCGCACCTCTGGGATGGCTCCGCTAAGTACTTACTCGATGCCTTGGATAGGTTGCAGTGGCGCGCTGTCCGTATCATTGGCGATGAAGAGGTAACCAAGAATCTCGAGTCTCTACAATTACGCCGCGATGTAGCATCATTAAACGCATTTTACCGTCTATACCACGGCGAGTGTTTGAGGAGTTATTCTCCCTTATCCCTCCATCACCTTTTCTTCAGAGGACTACCCGCGCTGGCCTTCGTTGCCACCGACTTACTGTGGCCACTATTCCTACACGAACAAAGAAATTTGGTGACTCATTTCTTTGTCGTACTATTCGTAAGTGGAATTCTTTACCCGCGCAAGTGTTCCCTCCTTCCTATAACCTGGGGTCCTTTAAGAGAGGCGTGAAGAAGCATTTTTACAGGCCGGCAAGGTGAGGATGATTGGTGTAGCAGTTTATAACTGCTGTACCAGCTATCTTCGCGTTTGGACTTTATTACCACTTAACATCAGGTGGGGTAGAGTCATTTGGATACCTTAATATATAAAAAAAAAACTTTCATAGTCGCTAACATTATAGCTATTAACGGGATTGTTACCATGTACCATGTTTATTATGAGTCTCCGATATTTCGGCACTGTTGCAAGCGCCATAATAAATTTATATTAAATATTAAATTGTCAAATGTCTGGAATCCAGTGGTTCGTATGTGTAAAAACCGCAAAAATCAAAAAAGTGTCGTTCCGCGATCTGATACTGTGAGTGTAGTGTGCCGGGAACAAGTGCGAGTGAATAGTGAGAATGTGACCAGTGGTAGGGGTATCGAGCGCAGTAAAAGACGACGTCAGAGGGTAGACCGATATGTCTGCCAATAACATCTACCCGCAATTACTTCAGTTACTCCAGTATTGTGACTCCGCCCTGTCCTTGAAAATAAATGCCTACGGCCGAGCGCTGCGTTAGCACGCGGTAGGGCCGCCCGCCTACAGTATTTTATGTAGTTTTGTTTTTAACGCGAGTGTAGGTAGATTACTCGTTTGTCTCTTTTTTCATCCTAACCACTTATTTATATATTATTCCAGATATTTTGCCCGATGGAAAAACCGAAATACCTAAATATAAGAAACAAATTACGTACTAGTAGATAGGTATATAAAAAATATTCTATAAAGGTAAGACACCTTTCCAATATTTCAGGTAATTTAAAAAATGATATCTCTGGGTGTGTTATTGAAGAGTTCAAGCAACCAAAAACAGCAATTGTGCTGTTGTACGATATTGATCGTCGTTTGTTCTTTTCCATACTAAATTATGTAGGTATCTACTTAATTAAATCAAATATTTACAATACAAAACGCACGTTTAAGCACGGCTAACTGCATAAAAAACAATTCAGACCGTTCGGTCGTCGTTGCGGCGGCGGCGCATTCGCGGCTGGGTGCCCGCCGAGAGCACATCGAACTCGAGTGGCGTAGGTATGACTCGCTTTCCGACCGTTTGTATGAAGATAGAATACTGTATGATATTATTACCGTGTCATGGCGCTTACAACAGTGCCGAAATATCGGAGACTCATAACAAACAAGGTACATGGTAACAATCCCGTTAATAGCTATAATATAGTTATATTGATTTATTTTTTTAAGCATTTAACTGCTAGTTGTTTAAATCTTACTAAAGATATTGTTTTCCTTTCATTTACGCCTGCAGGATCAGAAGACTCTACCACGACCAATTCATCAGTAGCCCAGCCTAACTGTTCTCATGGATTCGTTGGTTTCATCCCACATCCGAATCTTTGTGATTCATTCTACTTGTGCTGGGCAGGAAAGCTTAAACATTTTTTCTGTGAACCTGGCTACGAGTTTGATCTCGAAAGAGCAGTAAGTATAAAGAACTGCACCCTTGGTACGATCCATTATCGAATTCGAATAGTTTGCGAGTGCGAAATGTCATTGTCAAATTTTGTATTGAAACTTCAATAGCAGCAACGTAACGGACGTAACGAGAACTAAAAATCAGCACCCCTATCACGAACCATTATCGAATTCGAATAGTTTGCGAGTGCGAAATGTCATTGTCAAATTTTGTATCGAAACTTGAACAGCAGCACTACAAAGGACTTAACGAGAACTAAAAATCAGTACATATTTGACAATGACATTTGAGTCTCGCAAACGTTACGGTTACGGATTTGATATTGGTTCTTGCTAAGGGACTTGACTATTTACATTTCGCACTCGCAAACTATTCAATTTCGATATTGGTTCGTACTACTCGACTGCCCTTTGGGCAAATTGTTGTTCTTTCCCCTGCCAAAAAACTTGTGGCATTAATTTTATCTCACAAAAGATATTATCCTTTGGCGTCATTTTGTTTTGACACGTTCCGTGCGTAATGAATTCTAGAGAAAAACCATACAGGACTTCACCGAGGTGCATCGCTCAGACATTCATTTCTTACAATAGATTTAGTATTTAAAGACTGACAGAGTGAGGAAAAGAGATATCATTCCCCTACCTCAATCCTACAAGGTAGAAAGAGACGCAAGATGGTGTACCTTTGTTTCAATAAAGTAAGAGCCAACAGCGTCCTGTCAAGCCGTACTGTGAAAATAAAGGTACAAGTCCGAACTGAACCGACAGTTACAGACTGCAGGCGACACTACTAGTTTTTATGAATCTATAAGAATTGAAGTGACTTAAATAAAAAAAATAGCAAAATGACTTTTAAACGTGAAACGACATAAAAACATGTATTCTATCAGTTTATTAATAATAAACAGGCTCTTTTAGGTCAGAAGAAGACAAAAGTACTATTTCCGTCTCTTTTAAATGACACGCATACTGCGCCTCCCTCAGTATTTAAGTACCCCATTCAGTGTTGCGTGGACATTTATTTCATTTTCCTTTAATTTAGAAAATCATTAATTATTAAACTAGCATATTACAAAATTGGTCATCTATCAAATATATAACATTAGAAATGAATCGCCTCTATATTAAATAGTAATGTTTTTGTTTTATGTTGTTTAGTAAAAAATGGGCACAACGTGAAATAAGCCAATTATAATTAACTGTTTTCGGAAAACAAGTGACATGTTTTTTTTGATGATTAATTAACAAAGGTTCTAATTAGTTATACAGACTGGTTTAGTAAACAATCGTGAAAACAATTCCTATCCTACCATTAACAATAAAAAATATGATAATTAACGTATAACTTATAGCATTATAATAAAAAAATGGCCAACTTGTCAATCACATTTTTAGCGTTTACCAAAAAACAAGAATTTTGGATTAGGTCACTTCAATTCTAAAGGTGCGAATATGAAATTGATTTCGAGCGCGGCGACATGCCGCGACTGCACAATACATATAATGCACGGTCAGCGTCAGGCGCTAGCCGCAGTGTCGCCTGCGGTTGACGTTAGTCCCGGTTGCACCTGCAGTCGTTAGCGACCGCCAATCCGCACTGGGCCCGCGTGGTGTGTCATGGCCCAATCTCCCTATTCCATCCATAGGTAAGGCCTGTGCCCCAGCAGTGGGGACATTAAGAGGCTGATGATGATGATTTAAAGATACGATGCCCATACAAAAATATTTGTAGAAACCGAAAACTATTTAAATATTATGTTTTTTTTAATAAATTGAACGTAGGTAGTAATATATGTCTATGTTTTATTTCAGACATGTATCCTGATAGCCCCTGGTGGATGTACTCTTGGTGGTACTACTGCTGCAACTGATGTACCAACAACTCCAGGTGAAATGCTGCATAGTTATTTGAATTCAAAATTATTCTTAACTAGCAAACCAGTGAACCAAATGTTCACCAAAACCTGATTTAAAAAAAATGTATTTAATTAATTGAGAACTACGGAGATTTTGTGTGGTTTCGTTTGAAATTCGTGATTTCTCGAAAACCGGAAGTGCTACGTTACTCAAATCCGGTTTGTAGTCTTATCAGACTATTCTGAACTTATAACTTAAACATTCTCTTTATCTATCTCTTACGGTTTGGCCGCTGAAACAGCACCACAGACGGACGGACAGACTTGTCTAATAGATAAGAGATAATAATAACTCATTAAATAAAACAAGTTTCAACGGTTTAGATGCACTGATTTCATTTATTTATTGACGTTTCGCATCCTTTGCAGGAATGCGTCGTCAGAATAAAATTTTTATAAAAAATAAAATAATTTAACATCCATAAATTAACATCATTTGCAGGAATGCAATAAATAAATTAAATCAGTGCATCTAACCCGTTGAAACTTGTTTTATTTAATGAGCGATGTGGGTGAAAACCTGAGAAACAAAAATGATAACCCAATTATTTTACATCCAATTTACATTGCGTCATAAATAAGAACTTGCGTCATAACACCTAAATGCATATTGACAATAGAATTCAAGCGAATCATGGTTTCAGGTCCAACTACAACCGAAGATTTCACTACAGCTTCGCCCATATGCCCTCCGGGATCCATTACCAATATTCCTCACCCGCTGATGTGTGATGCATACTTTTGGTGTTTCCTAGGAACGCCCTCATTACAGTTATGTGCAGTCGGATTTGAGTTTGATCCCGCCCGAGCAGTAAGTATGCAATTTAAGTAAAATAAAAATTAAATATTGTAGTTTAATAATATTTTATGCCCAATCTCGCTGAACCATCAAAAAAGTATCCTATCCACGGACGGTTTCCAGATTAAGAATTAGCCCAGTGCGGATTGTGTCCTGTGCACATTGGGCCCAGAGCAGATTGGACCCAATGTGAATTGAGCCCGGTGTGGAATGGGCCCAATATGGATTGGACCCTTTTTTGAATTGGGCCCGGTGCCCTCTCCTATTCATCTCAATATCTCCCTATTTCATAAAAAAATAGTATCTTATCCTCCAATCCGCGTTGGGGCCGCGTGGTGGATGAAGGCCCTATCTAGCGATTCAGTCAAACTATGATTCAAAACTTTAGACCAAGTCCACTGTCAACAGCGGTCGCCCACCTAGCTGTCCATCTAGCTACCCACCCAGCTGTCTTGCTAGCTGCCAGCTGGTTCATGCATCATGCTCGTGAATGGGTGCTGGCAGCGGATATAAGACTGCCTTAACTACTTTAATATTGAAGATATTAATGTCTAGTTACACCTAATATAAGTAACACTATTTGTATTTATCCATACTAATATTATAAATGGGAAAGTGTGTTTGTTTGTTTGTCTTCTCTTCACGCCTAAACCGCTGAACCGATTGTGTTGAAATTTGGTAAATGTATAGCTTGAACTTATGAGACTGCTATAGGCTACTTTTTTTTAATTTATATATTCGAATTTACATAATTTTCAACTAAATTAATCATTTTCATGGTTGGTCCCGATAGAGATGGCGCTACTACTGTCACGAAGATAGATTAAATTTGAAATGTGGAAGTTGCTATCTTAATACGAGATGGCACCACTCGTGTTCAATACCGAGTATTTTGTGTTAGTGTTTCATTTATTAAATCGAGGTAATTTTACGCAATTTCTTTCTAATCTCATTTTTAAAATTAAATCTAGCAAATCCATACTAATATTATAAATGGGAAAGTGTGTTTGTTTGTTTGTCTTCTCTTCACGCCTAAACCGCTGAACCGATTGTGTTGAAATTTGGTAAATGTATAGCTTGAACTTATGAGACTGCTATAGGCTACTTTTTTTAATTTATATATTCGAATTTACATAATTTTCAACTAAATTAATCATTTTCATGGTTGGTCCCGATAGAGATGGCGCTACTGTCACGAAGACAGATTAAATTTGAAATGTGGAAGTTGCTATCTTAATACGAGATGGCACCACTCGTGTTCAATACCGAGTATTTTGTGTTAGTGTTTCATTTATTAAATCGAGGTAATTTTACGCAATTTCTTTCTAATCTCATTTTTAAAATTAAATCTAGCAAATACTAGTTACTCTAAATTTTGTAATATAAAAATATCATTTTCGAGTGATTATAGATTCTGGATGTTGCTTATAACAATAAGAGATGGCGCTACCATCTCGAATACCAACTCAACCGAGTAGTCTCTCTGGAAATAATATTTTTTGCAACTTAATAGATGGCACCACCTGTCTTTAAAATGAGTATTTTTAATTGTTTAAAAATCTGAGTTGTGATATTGCGTTTTTTCAGATCGCGCTATTTATGAACATGACTTTTTAATATTTATTGTTAATTTTAACGTGATGTAGGTAGATATTTTAATTAAAACAATATTAGTAAAAAAAACCGACTTCCTTCAGTGTCCTAATATTTTACCAGGAAATCTTATAAACATCAAAAAGATATTAAATAATCAGCTGTTTACAGGAGACAGATACTAAATAAACAGCTGTTATGATTTATTTTAGTCCCTTAATCGAGTATTATCCAATAATTTTCAAGTGAAGATTGATCCTAGATGTTAATAGAAGTAGGCGCTACCAACTCGAATAACAATGAGGGTGTTTATGAAAATTTGCGTCACCAGTTGGCGCCACTGTGTCGTGAGGTCGTTTGTATGAAGTTTTTGGCGCGAACTCCATAGACCAGATCCATAGACTATGAGAACATATGCGATTTAACGGATGAGTAGACCTTTCGTCTCAGTAATGCCACCTGGTGCCCGTCATTCCAGAAAACCCTCATTCGAAAACCAAGCTGTTGCGTGTGAAACTGAAGAGATGTCGCTACCCGTCATTAAAATCAAGTTTACTTGCACTAAAAATCTGAGGTTTTTCGGATGGCGCTATTCACGAACATTACTTTTTTATATTTATTGTTTTTAATAGTATTCTGTTATCTGTGCTATTAGAGAAGAATCAACGTGGTGGTGTTAAGTACTTACTATTTCAGCAGGTAAGCAACAGCAAGCAGCAGGTATCTACCTACCTTGATTGATTTTAAAGAAATACGGTTTACCAAGGTACCTGCCTACCTACATATCTGTTTTTGTTTTCCTTTGTGATTTGGTTTTGTTGTGCATTAAATGAATTAGGTAGGTATTTTGGTAGTTTCTTCGAATGTATAAATTTGGCTCACTGATAAAAATTACGATTATTATATTATAACCTATCTACCTCGATTTTTACCAGTAAGATAGACAACGCATAGGTAGGTATTGGTTTTTGTAATAATATGGTATTGTAGTTTTCGATTGGTTTTGTTGCTCTGAAAGAAGGGCTGCCTATTTGCTAGATACCTTTGTAGATAGGTAACCTACCTACCTACCTTGATTGGTACCTACCTACATTATCTACTAAGTGCGCATACTATTTCGGCAGGTACCTAGATAGGTAAATACCTTGATTTTAATAAAATACGAATTACCTATCTACATACCTACATAATATATGTTAAGTATCTGTTATTAAAATAATAGTAATTAAATAAAAATAATAAAATTAAAAAAAATACAAAAAGGAATATTAAAAAGCAATCATTTTGACGATTAACTTAACACATTGATCTAGGGTTTTTGTGAAAATAGGCGATTTTAAATACCTACCTACTATAAACAAGTTGAGTAGGTGCTTACAAAACATTTTTATACTGTTGTAATTAAAATAGGTAATTTTTTTTAATAAAAAAAAAATCAGATACTTACCTTCACCGTAATAATGACGCGCAAACGCAAATCTAGCCTTTATAGAGTATCCTCTCAAGCACGAGCAAAGAGATTAACTAGGTCGCAAGAATCTCTTGAAGAAATTGAACTGAGAAGGCAAGTACAGACAGATCCCCAAACTGCTTTGAGGGCCTCAGAATCTCAATCGCAGACACAGGAAAGGCGTCTTGAACAGTCTGAACGTCAAGCGAATTTGAGGGCCTTAGAATCACTGTCGCAGACACAGAGAAGACTTCCGGAGCAGACAGAGCGGCAGGCTCATTTGAGAGCCGCTGAATCGGATGTTCAGTCTCAACAAAGACTACAAGCGGGGAGTCAAACTGCTTTAAGAGCTGCAGAAACACCTGCTGAAACTCAGCAAAGACTTGATGAGCAAGCTCAACGACAAGCTTTTTTGAGGTCATTCGAAACACCTGAACAAGCACCGGCGCGCAGAGATTTAAATGTACGGCTTCAAGCAGAAAGGCGCCGTAATTTTAATGGAAATAAGCTACTTTTTTCTCACTATGTCAAAAGAGGATGATAGCCTCAAATAGGAAAACCACGCGAGCGTAGCCGCGGGTAACAGCTAGTATACTATAATTATGTATTTATACACACCAATCAAAATGAACAACTAATGTATATTTCACATTATGTAATGAAAGGTGACTTCATTAATCATCTTAGAACTCATTTTTCAATTTGACGACTCTGTAAATATTAAAACAGGGAGAATAAAACAGCCCTTGTTGAGTTTCTTGCCGGTACTTCTCAGTACAAGGTCCCCCCGCCGTAGATTTACGAACCGATGACGTAGCTTCTAGACATTCACGAGTGCTTGTAACAACCTAAACTGAATAAATGATTTTGATTATGATTATTATGATAAAATAAACATACTCTTCAGCTTTATAATATAAGTATAAAAATATATATAATACTAGCTGTTACCCGCGGCTACGCTCGCGTGGTTTTCCTATTTGAGGCTATCATCCTCTTTTGACATAGTGAGAAAAAAGTAGCTTATTTCTATTAAAATTACGGCGCCTTTCTGCTTGAAGCCGTACATTTAAATCTCTGCGCGCCTGTGCTTGTTCAGGTGTTTCGAATGACCTCAAAAAAGCTTGTCGTTGAGCTTGCTCATCAAGTCTTTGCTGAGTTTCAGCAGGTGTTTCTGCAGCTCTTAAAGCAGTTTGACTCCCCGCTTGTAGTCTTTGTTGAGACTGAACATCCGATTCAGCGGCTCTCAAATGAGCCTGCCGCTCTGTCTGCTCTGGAAGTCTTCTCTGTGTCTGCGACAGTGATTCTAAGGCCCTCAAATTCGCTTGACGTTCAGACTGTTCAAGACGCCTTTCCTGTGTCTGCGATTGAGATTCTGAGGCCCTCAAAGCAGTTTGGGGATCTGTCTGTTCTTGCCTTCTCAGTTCAATTTCTTCAAGAGATTCTTGCGACCTAGTTAATCTCTTTGCTCGTGCTTGAGAGGATACTCTATAAAGGCTAGATTTGCGTTTGCGCGTCATTATTACGGTGAAGGTAAGTATCTGATTTTTTTTTTATTAAAAAAAATTACCTATTTTAATTACAACAGTATAAAAATGTTTTGTAAGCACCTACTCAACTTGTTTATAGTAGGTAGGTATTTAAAATCACCTATTTTCACAAAAACCCTAGATCAATGTGTTAAGTTAATCGTCAAAATGATTCATCATCAGCCTATTAATGTCCCCACTGCTGGGGCACAGGCCTTCCCTATGGATGGAATAGGGAGATTGGGCCATGACCCACCACGCGGGCCCAGTGCGGATTGGTGGGTGCTAACGACTGCAAATGCAGCCGGGACCAACGGCTTAACGTGCCTTCCGAAGCACGGAGGAGCTCGAGATAGTAAATTTTTGGTCACCTATCCAATGACCGACCACTGCGAAAGTTGCTCAACTTCAACGATCGCAGCCGAACGCGCTAACCACCTGCGCCATCGAGCTCCTCCAAAAAAGCAAAATGATTGCTTTTTAATATTCCTTTTTGTATTTTTTTTAATTTTATTATTTTTATTTAATTACTATTATTTTAATAACAGATACTTAACATATATTATGTAGGTATGTAGATAGGTAATTCGTATTTTATTAAAATCAAGGTATTTACCTATCTAGGTACCTGCCGAAATAGTATGCGCACTTAGTAGATAATGTAGGTAGGTACCAATCAAGGTAGGTAGGTAGGTTACCTATCTACAAAGGTATCTAGCAAATAGGCAGCCCTTCTTTCAGAGCAACAAAACCAATCGAAAACTACAATACCATATTATTACAAAAACCAATACCTACCTATGCGTTGTCTATCTTACTGGTAAAAATCGAGGTAGATAGGTTATAATATAATAATCGTAATTTTTATCAGTGAGCCAAATTTATACATTCGAAGAAACTACCAAAATACCTACCTAATTCATTTAATGCACAACAAAACCAAATCACAAAGGAAAACAAAAACAGATATGTAGGTAGGCAGGTACCTTGGTAAACCGTATTTCTTTAAAATCAATCAAGGTAGGTAGATACCTGCTGCTTGCTGTTGCTTACCTGCTGAAATAGTAAGTACTTAACACCACCACGTTGATTCTTCTCTAATAGCACAGATAACAGAATACTATTAAAAACAATAAATATAAAAAAGTAATGTTCGTGAATAGCGCCATCCGAAAAACCTCAGATTTTTAGTGCAAGTAAACTTGATTTTAATGACGGGTAGCGACATCTCTTCAGTTTCACACGCAACAGCTTGGTTTTCGAATGAGGGTTTTCTGGAATGACGGGCACCAGGTGGCATTACTGAGACGAAAGGTCTACTCATCCGTTAAATCGCATATGTTCTCATAGTCTAAGGATCTGGTCTATGGAGTTCGCGCCAAAAACTTCATACAAACGACCTCACGACACAGTGGCGCCAACTGGTGACGCAAATTTTCATAAACACCCTCATTGTTATTCGAGTTGGTAGCGCCTACTTCTATTAACATCCAGGATCAATCTTCACTTGAAAATTATTGGATAATACTCGATTAAGGGACTAAAATAAATCATAACAGCTGTTTATTTAGTATCTGTCTCCTGTAAACAGCTGATTATTTAATATCTTTTTGATGTTTATAAGATTTCCTGGTAAAATATTAGGACACTGAAGGAAGTCGGTTTTTTTTACTAATATTGTTTTAATTAAAATATCTACCTACATCACGTTAAAATTAACAATAAATATTAAAAAGTCATGTTCATAAATAGCGCGATCTGAAAAAACGCAATATCACAACTCAGATTTTTAAACAATTAAAAATACTCATTTTAAAGACAGGTGGTGCCATCTATTAAGTTGCAAAAAATATTATTTCCAGAGAGACTACTCGGTTGAGTTGGTATTCGAGATGGTAGCGCCATCTCTTATTGTTATAAGCAACATCCAGAATCTATAATCACTCGAAAATGATATTTTTATATTATAAATTTAGAGTAACTAGTATTTGCTAGATTTAATTTTAAAAATGAGATTAGAAAGAAATTGCGTAAAATTACCTCGATTTAATAAATGAAACACTAACACAAAATACTCGGTATTGAACACGAGTGGTGCCATCTCGTATTAAGATAGCAACTTCCACATTTCAAATTTAATCTGTCTTCGTGACAGTAGCGCCATCTCTATCGGGACCAACCATGAAAATGATTAATTTAGTTGAAAATTATGTAAATTCGAATATATAAATTAAAAAAAGTAGCCTATAGCAGTCTCATAAGTTCAAGCTATACATTTACCAAATTTCAACACAATCGGTTCAGCGGTTTAGGCGTGAAGAGAAGACAAACAAACAAACACACTTTCCCATTTATAATATTAGTATGGATTTGCTAGATTTAATTTTAAAAATGAGATTAGAAAGAAATTGCGTAAAATTACCTCGATTTAATAAATGAAACACTAACACAAAATACTCGGTATTGAACACGAGTGGTGCCATCTCGTATTAAGATAGCAACTTCCACATTTCAAATTTAATCTGTCTTCGTGACAGTAGTAGCGCCATCTCTATCGGGACCAACCATGAAAATGATTAATTTAGTTGAAAATTATGTAAATTCGAATATATAAATTAAAAAAAAGTAGCCTATAGCAGTCTCATAAGTTCAAGCTATACATTTACCAAATTTCAACACAATCGGTTCAGCGGTTTAGGCGTGAAGAGAAGACAAACAAACAAACAAGCAAACACACTTTCCCATTTATAATATTAGTATGGATTTAGATTACAATACGACAGTATTTATATAAAAAACTATACTGTATATGTATATTGAAAGGTAGTGCAGTATTATATTAGTTATTGTAGTACTTTAGTGAATATGTCTATGTTTTATTTCAGACATGTGTCCGAATAGCCCCTGGTGGATGCACTCTTGGACAAGCAACGACAGTTGGTATAGAAGAACCAACTATTATGACAACTGGTATACCATCAACACTAGATGAGATGCGACATAGTTTTATGGATTGAAGATTATCCCTAATAATGATAACCCGATTATTTTACATTCAATTTACATTGCGTCACAAATAACAAATTGCGTCATAACACTTAATTGCATATTGATAAAAGTATTCAAGAAAATCGTGGTTTCAGGTTCAACTACAACTGAAAATTTTGAAACGACAACATTACCGACCACTACTGATCCGCCCATATGCCCTCCGGGATTCAATGGCAATGTTCCCCACCCGCAGAGATGTGATGCATACTTCATATGTAATTGGTGGGGAATAGCTTCAAAAGTGATTTGCTCAGTCGGATTTGAATTTCATCCCGGACGAGAAGTAAGTATGCCATTTAAATGAAACAAAATAAATGGTTATATTTTTTTTCAGCATTTAAATGCTAGGTGTGTAAATCTAAAGAAAAATAAAATAATTTGTTTCTGAGATTTTCACGCATACCACTCATTAAATAAAACAAGTTTCAAGGGTATGAATGCACTGATATTATTTATTTATTAACTTTCGCATCCTTTTCAGGCTGCGATAAGTCTGACGACGCAGCCTGAAAAGGATGCGAAACGTCAACGTCAACGTGAAGATAATTATGTCTGTGTTTTATTTCAGACATGTGTCCGGATAGCCCCTGGTGGATGCACTCTTGGTTTTACTACTTTTACAACTGATATACCATCAACACCAGGTGAGTTGTGGCATTTGATTTGTATCATAAACTATGTACTAATTCGTAAGTTGTTAGCTGAATTAAGTAAGGTTTCTGATGTGAAAGAAATGGTAAGAAGTTTTTACAGATACTTGAATGTAATAGTAAGTAAGCATAGTTAGTTAGTTCTTCAGGGCGGTTTCCGCACTTAGTCCTAATTATTGGACCATTGTGCGTGTCTCAAAAACATTCCCGTTTACTCCAGCCAGTCTCTATCGGTTCATAAGGAAAGCAGCCTTGGTAGACTGCTGCAAGCTTCCGGAAACGATTCTGGCGACTGGAGAAGTCGTGCCCGTTGGTCGGGCACACTCCTGCATTCCATGATGACATGCTGTGGCGTTTCTTCTGCCTCCATGCATCCTCTGCATAGGGGACTGTCTGTTACTCCTATTGTATATAGATGTTGGTTTTGGGGGACAATGACCAGTCAGGAATCCTATAATCCTGCGAAGTTTGTCCCTATTTAGTCTGGTAAGGGTGCGGGCAAAACTTTTATTTGCCGCCGGAACCGCGTTTTTCGTTTGCCGGCATCCTTCACCTGTTTTCCACTCCGTCAAGTGTGATTTCTGAGTTATTTCACGCAGCCACGTTTTAATTTGAGCCTGAGGTATGGGCAGCAAAGGTTCCGGACCATACACTTTTGTGTCTGCTCCCCTCTTAGCCAGTTCGTCTGCTGCGTCATTTCCAATTGAGCTGCTGTGTCCTTTTATCCATTGCAGAGTTACCGTGTTGCTAACCGCAATGGATTGAAGTGCCTTGTGGCACTCCATTATTAGGACTGAGTTTATTGTGTTGCTACGTAGGACTTGAAGCACGGATGCACTGTCAGAGATGATCTTGATGTTATACTCTCTGATATCTTTGGCTGCAACCGCCTGTGCCGCTCTGGTAATGCCAATAAATTCCGCCTGGAAGATTGTGCTTTGTTTGCCTAAGGTTGTAGATATTTTTATATTCAGGTCGTTTGAGAAGACACCGGCTCCAGTACCACTGTTGGTTTTGAAGTCATCCGTGTATATCCTAACTTCCCCGGCGCCAGAGTAATCTGCCTTTTCCGCGGTAAGTTGGATGTTGTATCTTCGATCAAAGACGTGTTGACTCAATATTCTATCCATAGGTGCCTCCAGGAGTGGGATCTCCTTCGTGCACTTTTGTAGAATATTGGAGTGTGTTGTTACAGTATTTAATCTCCATAATCCTAGAGACTTTAGTCTCAAGGCTGCTGCTTTCGCCTCTTCTTGTATGACCAGGTCCAATGGTCTTAAATTCATGAGGTACTCTAATGCAGCCGATGGAGTTGTTCTCATGCATCCAGTTGCTGCTACGCTCGCCAAGCGTTGTAGACTTTGGAGTTTGGATTTCACTGTGGTCAGTTGGGTCCTGGGCCACCCAACAACTGAACCATAGGTTATAGAGGGCCTGATGACAGCTGTGTATAACCAAAGGGTGATCATTGGACTTAGACCCCACTTTTTACCAACTAGTCTTCTACACTGATTAAAAGCTATGCAGGCCTTCTTTGTTTTTAGATCAATATGACTCGCCCAATTCAGTTTGTTATCAAGGATTACGCCCAGATATTTCACTTGTGTTGATAGGGAGAGTTTGGTATTAAACAGTTTTGGTAACTGTAGTTCAGGTAGCTTCCTTTTGTTGGTGAAAAGGACTAGCTCTGTCTTGTTCGGGTTTACTGACAAGTGATGTTCGTCACACCATTTTTCCATAATCTGAAGGGCTGAACGCATAACCTTGCAAAGGACATTTTCAGCGTTCCCATTTATCATAATTGTTAGGTTGTCCGCATAACCAATAGTAGTGTATCCTCTGTCATTCAGACTCCGTAGGAGACTGTCCACTACTATGTTCCAGAGAAGTGGTGATAGGACTCCCCCTTGGGGACATCCTCTAACTACCTTCACACGCGTGGTAGCGTTCCCCACTATCTGAACCGCCCTTTTGCCGACCAGTTCGGTGATCCAATCTCTATTGACTTGGTCCACCTTGAGTTTTCTTAGGGCGTGGTTAATGTTGTTGTGCATCGTTTTGTCAAAAGCACCTTCTATGTCTATGAAGGCTGCCAGTGTTAAGGTTTTGTTTGTGATTGCTGACTCTATTTTGTGGACTACTGAATGAAGTGCCGACTCTGTTGAACTGCCTTTTCTGTAGGCATGTTGTTGAGGGTGCAGCGGAGCCTTACTTAGTGCTCCATCCCTAAGGTGTCGGTCTACCAATCTTTCCAATGTTTTCAAAAGAAAAGAGGTTAGTTTTATTGGTTTCAAGGATTTGGCTTGTGTATAGTCGTCCTTGCCTGGCTTCGGTAAGAAAACTACTTTTGCCTCCCTCCATGGTTTTGGTATGTACTTGAAGGCCAGGCAGGTCCTAAAGATTGGTTGTAGGTATCTAAATGCCTGACCGAGTTGCCATTGTAGTAGCATCGAGAATATACCATCTAGTCCTGCTGACTTAAATGGTTGAAAGCTTTTTAGAGCCCATTCTATCTTCTCCGCCGTTACTATTGTTTTTGCCAGGTCCCATTCCTGGGTTGTTGGTGCATTGTGGTGCTCAGTCGACCACTCAAGGCCAAGCGCCAGTTGACATCCTGGGAAGTGGATTTCCAGTAGCACAGCATTGGCTTCTTCTTCTGTTTTTGTATAAGTGCCGTCTTCCCTTTTCAGAGACCCAGGGAGGTTGGAGTTGTCCTTGGACAGAACTTTCTTGAGTCTGGCAGCATGATTTGTTGAATTGACACTATACAGAAACCGCGCCATCCTTCCCTACTCCGGAATCTGATCCGGTTCTTGTAGTGTTTTGTGCTATTTTATATCTGTCCCAGTCCTCATTGGTTCTGGTATTTTTCGCTCGATTGAAAAGTGTCCTGAGTTCCTTACGTAGTTTTTCAAGTTCTGGCCCCCACCAGGAACTTTTACCCAGGCCTTTCGGTACGATGGAAAGACACGTCAGTTCGTAGCTTCTAAGAAGTGCTGAAGTGTAGAACTGTACGTTTGTTTCTATTTTTTTTTATTTTTACAGTTTTTGGGAAACTTACAGCTAGTTTGTCTTACTTGCTATTCTGCATAATATTTATGTTTAAGGCCAATTAATAGTTTCCGCGGTTAGTTAAAGTAATAATTTAAAAAGTCGGCATCAAGCGTACATGATGCTTAAATGCATTATTAAGTAGGTATGTGTACTATATATACTTATAAGCAATTAAAAAAGCAGAAAGATAAAAAATACATAGTTTAAGTACTCGGCTCAAAGAAAAGATTATTGATTTTTTTTTTAATGAATTCAAGCTGTCACAAAATAAATCAAAATCTAACTGGCCTGATGAGTACTGTTTAAAATTGTGAGGAGCTCTAATTGTGAAAGAATTTTGACGATAATTAGTTGAGACTAACGGTACATAAAGAGTTTTAGTGTGTCTAGTGATTTTGTCAGGGGTACTAAAGCGTTGTTGGGTGTAGATAGGTAGGTAATAGTTCGCTTGTACTTATCTGCGGTGCAGTCAGGAGGCGGCGTAAACAATAAGTCCAGCACTCAACAGTAAACAGTTTATTTGCACAAGCACAGAATAGAAGGAGTACAGAGCACAGTCAGTGATAAACAAGCACAGAGGAAGAAAGGAAAAGCACAGACAAAGCAACATAAACAAAAACAATAATAACACGGTTAGGGGCTAGCAAGCGCGGAGCAATTTAGCGTGCGTACGGTGTCAAGTATAGGTTCCGACTGTCGTGCAACGTGACCTATGCGCGTGAGCCGGCCGGTTTGCCGAACAATAGGCGGCGAAGTGAGTGCGCGTGTCCATTCGCCACACGACTGTTATAGATCGGCTGATGCACGGCACGATATAGTGTAATTGTTTTGTGAATAAATGTTTGTGCTTGTGATGACAGTATATGAATGTAATTAATAAATATTGTTATATATTAAATGTAAATAATGTGTAAATAATAATATTTATATAAATGTAAATATATTTGGTATTTATAACTAATGTTTTATATTTATTTGTAGTTATAAATTGTAAATACATATTATATAATATTTTGAATATTTCTAAATACGTATATAACATGTATAGATACGATTGTGGGAGAACCCCACATAACCCCCCCTCAGAGACCTGGTTAGGGTCGATAGTAATCTGGGAAACGGACGTGTCTCCCAGAGCGTGTGGTTTTTTGAGGCTGGGTTTCAGTGGGTGTGTGTGTACTGTGTGTATGTGTATTAGTGGTGTTTGGAAGAGTGTCTGTGTGTGTGTCATGTATTAGGTCTTCCTCGTCTGTAAGCGTGAATGCTGGTTTTAAGCGGTCGATGCTCACGGTGACGGGATTACCTTTGACAAGAAGTTTGAACACCTTGTCGTTTCTTTCTAAAACCTTATGAGGTCCAGAGTAGGCAGGTTGGAAAGTCACGCGTGAAGCATCTTCTCGCAGAAAGACATAATCGGCAGCGGCTAATTCTTTAAAGACAAACACCTTGTGATTGCCATGGCGAGATGCTGGAACAGGCTTTAGTTTTTCGGCGTACGAACGTAACCGAGCCGTAAAATCTGACAAGTCAGATGTGCCAGGTGTGTTCGGATGGAAAAATTCACCAGGAAGACGTAATGGTTCGCCGTATAGCGACTCAGCCGTAGAAGATTTTAAATCCTCTTTGAAGGCGGTACGGATGCCAAGCAGTACCAGTGGTAACACCTCGATCCAATTTTGTTGGGCATGGCAGGTAATGGAGGCTTTCAACTGCCTGTGAAAGCGTTCCACGAGACCGTTACATGCCGGGTGGTAAGCGGTGGTGCATTTGTGGTGGAATCCTAGGGTTTTTGCTAGATATTGAAACAGTGCGGACTCAAATTGTGCGCCGCGATCTGTAACAATATCTATAGGGCAACCAAAACGAGATATCCAACCAGATATTAACGCCTTTGCGACTGTTTCGGCTGTTATGTCAGTCAATGGCATGACTTCCGGCCA